CTACGCTAGTATAGGTCCGTTTGAAAGGACGAATGTCAATGGTCAGTTTATTGAGGATAAACCAAGTGTGTGTGTGAGGGTAATTGTTAAATTGACTTGCATGAATAAAGGCATTTCAAGTTCCAAGTTACTATTTGAATGCTATTATCTTTGGTGTAAACTACTCTGTACCCAAGCTTGGTTGATCAGATACGTCGTGTGTTTGTTAGTCATCTATATTCTACGATACAGTGACATGAGCGTGTTACCGTTCAGATTGGAGGATATAGATGATAGAGGGAAGTCAGCAAATGAACTATGCGACGATTTTCCAACCTAGAGCGTCAACCTGAGAAGGGTTGTAGGCGTACTGCTGTAAGTCCTACAATTTTTTAAAGGGCAGCGCATCAATGAGCAGCCAAACGTGCTTGGTGTGTGATTTTGTAGATATGTTTATGTTGTATGTACTGAATATTTATCACCTCTCATCTATCTGTTGGTAATTCCGTTTGTGTCCGAACGACTTCCACCTGTATCATCAACCTGAGAAGGAATGTAGGCGTACTGCTGTAAGTCCTACAGTTCTTCAAGGGTAGCTCATCAAGGCAGAATCCACCACATTTGATGTATTGATTGTACATATGTTTGTGTTAAGTAATTGAGTGGGTTCCAATCAATGTAATTGTTGGTTGATCTTGTTTGTGTCCGGACATTCTTCAACTCACAATCGTCAACCTGAGAAGGGTTGCAGGCGTACTGGTGTAAGTCCTGCGATTCTTCAAACGAATTACATCGAGACATGATCGGCGAGGTTATTTGTACTGTTTGCATGTACGTGTGTTGTGACATATCAATTGGTTTTTTTGGATTCACCGTGAGGCTATTGCTGAGAATGACATGCTTACGGAGATATGGATTAGTCTGTGGTCCCACACGCCGAGTAGCTTGAGTGTAGACAACTGAGGCTTGAATACGTCACCGTTACTAGAACTGAAGCAGAATGAGTGACGAACGATCGCAGTGGTAATTGGTAGTGAATAGATAACAGGATGTGTGAAGAGTATCATGAGGTAATGCAAGATTCATTCTAGCAAGCGGCGATTGTGTTGCAAGATGTCAAGAGGTTGCCTTTAACTGGAAGGCGTGGGTCGTCGTCGATGAGTGTGAGATTTTGCTGTGGGTATACTTGTGGTGTGTTGGCTATTCTGTTCGTTTTCCATTTCAGCTTTGCCCGTGCGGCTCAGTTTCTCACACTGGCATCCGAGGCAACGTGTATTGGTCGTGATGTATAAAGGGATGGAACCCTTTTTTCCGCGGAGTGTCAATGTTGTTGAAGATTGAACGATCAATTCATGGTTGTTTGCTCAAACACAACTTCCCCATAATTTTCGCGGGTCATCCTTCCATCAGTCATCGCTTCCTCGTTCGCTTTTCAGAGTGAATTTTAAATTCTATCAGAAAACATCTGTAATTACATGACTGATTTTTATATGTTGGCGTAAGAGTAAAGGAATCCTGAGTGGCCAATCTGTGTTTTGTTTTCTTCGCGTTGGTTAGTACAAAGCGTTTCTGAAAATCTTTGAAAGACAGCGTGGGGGCCAGCGTAACAAGAGCTGGAAATTGATAGTTTATTCTACTTGACTGACACCAAATTAAATAAAAGCGATTATCATCTTCTGACTTTCCCGTTTTTTATTATCCAATTTTAACATTCTGTTATAACTATAGTTTATGTCATACTGTCTTACTTTCAACATAGAATCTTGCATGCAAATGCACCTGTTTGTGTTGCCATATTCCTTTTAGTATAAATGTAGAGAATCAAAATATTAATGAAACTCTATTGAGCGTAAATGTGCTGGAAACGAATAGTGAAATGGAGAAATCATAAGTGTGCTCAAATATTTGAGATTACGCAGAGTGAATGCATCTGTGTTTATAACAACGTTTGGAGTCACATATCTACTTAACACTGGGCTTAATATCAATATTACTCACTATATTAGACTAGTTAACACAGAAGAAAGGCCACAGACACTGCGATAAAAAACCAATGATCTTGTCTTATCTTCCATTTTCAATGGTCACTTCTCGCAGCCTAAGTGGACAATATCATCAGCATACACTGAGTTGACGAGACTGTTCCACGGTAAGTCCCCAAAGACAACGACAGGCAATTCTATTAGTACATCTATGACGAAAGTTAACTAAAATGAGGGCGATATTGTATAAGTGAGCCTTGTATTATATCGTTCTTGGAAAGATCAGTTCCCTCATAGTTTAATTTCAGTATCAAGTGAATCGAATGCAACCCAGCTGGCATTTTTTCGGGTGCACTGCAAACTTCGGAACGAAAAACTTAGGACGCATAAGCATAAATGGGACAGTGTCCCTAAGCCTGCCCTAAAAGGTCTGCAATGCGCTCAAAGTCTACCCCGGAAAGTTGCAATGCGCCAGGAAAAAATGCTGGCTAAGAATCTAAAGGTTCATGAAGTTCCCATACTGATGTACTACTTTCCCAGAATCCTAGTTATTGTCTCCTCATTGGAGTGATGAATGGGTATTTTACTTGTGTAAACTCAATAGGCTGTGAAATGCCGCCAGTGAAAACGACAACAATTCTTGCAATTGCCAGTTTTGATTTTAGCTTGATCGCATGCCACATTCAGCAGTTGTTAAATGGTTACTTGATGAACATCGAATCCATACAGAAAGCGCGGAAGATTTAGTACAACATGCACACTCCTGATTTCACTATGAAGCATGGATGCCTGACGCATCACTTTAGGGGCCTAAACAGTTCACAAATCAACTCACAACACAAAAGTAGAAAAATTTATATTTGTTCTTACTGAGCTTAATATAGCGAATCTTGCGAAGTAAATTTCTCATGCAGAAGAAAAGAGCAAGGTATTCATGATCTTTTGCTACATGTAAAATCGCAGTACAACTCGATACACAATAGAATACATGTGAATGAACTGAAAAATACAGTACTCCTTACCTTCTGAAGGACGTGTCCTTATTCCAGAATCATAACTTTCTTTCACCTATGAGCCTAAGTTATGTCTATGAAATCGCAGTATTACACCAATTAAAACTTCCCCCAAAACCAAGGCCACTTGAAACCCATAGCAACAAGCATCATAGCGGGGATAAGCAAAAAAGCCACTCGCTGTTAACACTGTTAACCAACCAGGAACCGATTGTGCCGAAAATAGGCAGGAAGAAATAAAGTTAGATGGATTAGCCAAACTCTGAGGAAACCATCAAGCGACATCACTAGACAAGCCATTGCGCGAGTGGAACTCGAAAGGGAAGCGGCGAGTTGGTCATCAGTCCAAGGGTGACTTGGAGGAGGTCATGTGAAGTGAGAGGAAAGCATGTGGACAGACTTAGAGCCAGGTGAAAACTCTAGGAGAAAACCGAAAGCAATGAAGACGCGTGGCTGAAGTCCTATGTTCCTCTAGGAATTAAAGGAAATAATAATTATAATAACACTGGCTTTACTACAGCAGTCCTAGTTCATGTTTTTGGACCTAGTACACTGTGCATTAAAAAGCATAGGTGACACTTACCACCTGGAGGTTTCTCATTGCCTTCCGATTTGTTTTTCTCTAAAAATACATACAAGGACAACAGATTCACACTTCTTGTGTGGCTCAGCCTTGCTTGATTTAGATTCTCTCACAATATATCCGGTTTTTCACCAATAATAGACATTCTGATGGTATATTCACCTTCCAGAGAAGGTTCAAAACTTTTTAACTTCGAACCACGTTTTAAATTCTTAAGGTTTAATATGCTCTTCGTAAACCTTGCTGGTATCAACTCTGATCGTGCTCTCTTCACCAGATTCACTCGTAGATTGTTGAATGTAGTAAACACGTATGTGAATGACATTGTTTTCCGCAGGTTCCTACATAATAAGTAACCAGGAGAGCCAGCAACAACAGCGGAAACCAAGACATGAACTAAAAGCAACAGCTACTACCACGAAAGCACGTACAGGTGCATATTTTCCAAAGCCTCTACACAGTACTAATACATTAATAGCTGAAAAAAAACAACGCTGAAACCACGCATGAATGTAACGTATGGAACAATTACAAGGAAAGGAATGCATTGACCTGGTGGTAAAAACTTTCGAAACCAACCAAATAACCAATTTTAACTGCAACGGAAATAAAAATGAGGTGAAACGCGACATTTGTGAACAATGTGCATCAAGATAAGTTGTGAATAACTGCATGATAAACGTAAAAGCCAATGTGTAAACGGATGGTTAAGGAACTTCATTCCAACATGGCCTACAAAAATGGACGAAAGCGACCTTCAGGTACCTAATACATTCAGTGACCTTGGGCATGCGGGACAACTTCAGTCAATATAATATATTATATTGGGAAACTGTAGATTGAGGGGCAAAGTTCAACAATGGCGCCCCAGGAACGCGAAAGCACGAGTGACCTTCAGCTGACCAATCATAAAAATGAGGAATGTTTACTCAAAAATGATGTGTATCTCTATTATCCTGCCTGCAGTCTTCCAAAAAAGCCCTCAGTTGAATTATTATGGTTTCCAGCTAGAGGATAGACGAATACTTACCAGGAAAACGTGGATAATAAAAAATTAAAATAAATGACATCAACTTTAAATCTATCCCTAATCGTAACCATAAGCCTAATCCGGCCCTAACACTAAACCTAACCTTAATCCTAACCCCAATCACATTTCTTATTCAAAACGTAATCCTAACCCTAATGCTAATTATAATCTTGATCCTAACCCTAACGAGGTGTTTATACATTGTCGAAACAGTACTAAAGAAAAGTGATCTGGTTAAAATTCGCTCCTACGTTGGTGCACAGCGTTGATATCTCACCCATGATAATGACATGCTGTTCGCCAAAGACCAGCATGCGTTCAAGGTCATTGGAGTGTTCACACTCCTGAGACATTATTGTTGAACTTTGCCGATTGAGGTTATTAGGCGGCATGTTCAAATCTTCAGGGTCATAATGAGCGTGAAAACTGGTGATGAGCTTTCAGGAGTGCAGCAACTATTGTCGACCAGGAATGTGATAACAGAAGTAAAGCTCTCAATAGCGCTTAAATGCGAAAGCATTTTGAAGTCTCCAGAAGAAAATGTAAATTTTTTTCACTAATTTTTCAAGATTAATTCCCTGAGAGACCTAATTAAAACCTTCGAATCACGCCATTTCCGGAAATTCAAACAGATAAGAAGATTATTAATGGCCTCATTGTGTATTGTCTTCAAAGATATATTGCCTGCTTATCGCATAAGGCCTGCAACTGAGAAAGAGAAGACTCAGCTGGTATTCACATTCATGATTAGTGGTCATTTTTGTAGGCAAAGAAAGAAACTAGACAAGTACGGTTTTACGAAGAGAACCTTCTTTTGAATTATAAGAAATTCACTGAACTGCTCCGGGTTATTCTTGGTGGTGAGTTCCCCTGTGATTGTTCATTTTCCAGATAAATCTATGGATATGAAATCTCAGCGCTTAAAAATTTATGGAAAAATCAGTTGGGATGAGGTAACATTTTATGTTTCACTAACTGAGACTGTAGAACGAACGATTATCTGCTATTCGATGTGTTTGCCAGCTTTTGGAGAGTCACCCAGACTTTAATTATAACAAAGAGCTTATAGAACTTCTACCTCCCTACATAAACAGCTCAAATACGCAGGTAACTCTGGCTTTTGTTCTGATTTTTAGATTTCTTCCGAGATAATAAAATCTATCGACAATTTGTTTGAAAATGATGCTGATCGAGATGTTACTTTATTGGTGCGTTCCCTTTATTGTCTGTGACTGTGAAAGATATGCCGTTCTATTCACAGGTTCTGTCGAACGAAATCTTATGTTGTCAGGGCTCCAGTCGTTAGAGCTTTGTGTGGTGTCACGATAACAGAGGTAGAACGGCAAAATGGAGAAGAAAAGACAAAAGTAGACAGACGCATGAGATCCCGGCGTGAAAGAAAGGTAAGTTTCCCTACAAATGTTTATCACCATTTTCTCATGACTTCCTTTTTGTGGTATCCTGATTGGGTCATCTTAAGTGTTGGTATTCCTTGTATCAAAGTTTGAATTTGATTTAACAGTGTGGATAATGATCATATAGGGAGCTCCATACCTGGTTGATGATAATTACGTTACAGATTGAAACTTTTATTGACTTCTAGATAACGCTACAAACCGTCATATTTAGGATAATGTGTAGGCTGTCTCTGTGCCCCATAGCATATTTGTTTGTGGATATTAGCTTTGGTTTAAGTGTTAATGTGCAATCTAAATGTCCGGCACCAAGTTATGCTTCAACTGTCACCTAATCGGCATTTTTCATAACCTGTTGCATGGATTCACATATATTTGCTTGGTTGTATTTTCTTTAGGGTCTTGAGATCTGATGTGTAACTGAAAAGTGTGGGCAGCAAACTTGTCAGAGCTAGATTGCAATTTAAACTAATAACTATGGTAGTTGGTTGTCTACTGTGCATCCCTTATTGAAATATTCCGTCGTAGTTTTTTTTCACATTCTTCAGTCTTGAAAGTCAACAAGTCTTTCTAAGTCGCTGGTCTCCCTAAGGTCCAGTTGTTACATCAACACAGCCACTTTGAGCAGTAATGTGTTTCCATCGAGTTTTACCTTAGGAATTGCTTGAAATATACTGCTGGTTTTGCTATAATGGTTACTTGTGTATTAACTACAATAATACCAATTCACAAATATCAATTTTCAGCGGTCGACGTTTCACAAATTCTTTGGTCCAGGAACCCAAATATACAAAAGGCAGAATGCGTATTCAATAAGATAATCGGATATATATAACAGAATATAAATTCAACACTGATCAAAAGACATAATTTTCGGTTAATCTTCAGTCTAAATGTTAGTCGTTATTAGCACAAAAGGATTTATAAACTAGTTGTCTGACTTGTCACTTCCCAATAGTATATTGATCAAGTAAGCTAAAACTATCTTTACAGAGTGGAACTTTGCACAAAAGTTTATCAGTTTGAGTTATCACACAAAGTAGAGACAAAATATAGTGAACTAGATGAACTAAAATAGGTCCATGTACATAGGAGTGAGTATAATTAGGTGAAAAATGGTTGGAATTTTGGAGCCTGGAAGATGTAAAAGGTGAATACACTCATGTCATTGTAGTCCATATCACCAACAGTCTCAAACCACTAATTCTTAGCATTTAGAGGATCAAAACCAATTAATATACACCTCCTTAGGTAACTCAAATCCATAGCCATGGACTTCATGGTATAGAGCTGTCTTTTGTCCCGATCCTAACTCGGGTAACATTGTTCATGTAACCAGGCAGTAAGTGCACTGAAAAGATGCATTTTTTCAACATTGAAAGGCGTCTGAAAAATGCTTGAGGTGCTTTCCTTACTGTGATAGTATATGTAGAGTATTCAGATATCGTCAAGATAGCAATATGATAAAATCAAGTTGATGCAGTGCTTATTTGACGTGTGCTTATTGATAAATTTTCTTCAGTCATTTTTTTCTTTGAATTTATACTATTTACCTTTTTAATATTTTTCTAGGAGGCTAAAATGCAACGCAAGTTTGAAAAGGAAATGGCAGAAACCCAGTCTCTTCAAACTCGGGAAAAGCGTTTAAAAATGGTTAGTAAGATTCCTTCTAATTGATATTATTTTTCAAATGTAGAATACTATGGTTATGAATGAAATTCTGTTTGTTTTCTTCAAAATCTTGAAAACAACTTCTAACTCGACACTCTTGTCTGCAATTTTTAAAGGATTGTCAAAGTAAGTTGCCACTCAAAATATTCAACAACCGCGCTATTTTTAGGTATGCTAAACTTATCAATACACAGTATGTCGACAGTCTTATGTCTGTTTTAAATGCAATGGTCATGAAGAAGGTAAGTCTTCTTCATTTATTTATAGATGAATAACATATTGTGAGTAGGAATTTTTTATTTATATATTGCATTCATTATTGTAGTTAAATTAGCATTAGTGTGTTTAGGTGTTTCTTCGTTGTTAAAAATTCACCATCAGATAGTACTGTAGGTGGCTCTTAGATCTTTATCGAAACTTTTGCCATTAAGACAAGGTATATATATATATTTATATATATATATATATGCTTGAATGAACTCTGACAACCTTGTGAAAGTGCACGGAGAGTTTGTTATTACTGCTGCTGAGTGAGTTAATAGTAGTTTTCCCCGTCGCCACTTATATTATGTACTCGTCGAGTAGTTAATAGTCCCGACACAGAAAGAGGGAAATCAGAAGACCACCAGGTTTACGATGATACTTGTATTTTCCAGACAAGGGAAATAAATGTCACACAAGTGTGTCAGTGGAAGGGTACTTAAATGTACGAAATGTGTGTCAAGAATGAATAAGAATAATAAAGCAAGAGTAAATATAAAAATGGCTACTACACATGGACCAATAAGATAACATCTTACCATGATTGGTTGTAATGTCATGTGATAATAAGGTCATACATTGTTTATTTAGTTAGTGCACAGACAAAAGCATAATATCAGTTATAATGGAATATCGATCCATACACACATAGCAAAATATAATAGACTGTCAAAACCAAAACACACATGTGGATACATATCAGAGTTGTTTTGAGCGATGGCAGCAAAAGTTATCCTTCGGGAGATGATCTGACGTTTGTAACCCTATGTCATTTCGATTTTTTGGATCCTGTCGACACAATGTACGCAGGCGATAAGTTCGTTGTAGACGAAACAGCTGGTAAATTTCACTTTGAGGAAGGACAAAAGTATGTTAAATATGCAGTTTTCCTCGCATCAGATGTAAGATTGTGCTACAGTTCTGGTCCCTATAGACTTTTACTTCAAGGATAGGATGTTAGAATGACTGTTCACTTCGACTACTCCTATTATTTTGGAAATTGCATCAGTCCCAACGGAGTACTTGCTGACAAAGTCAGTAGGCGAATACGAAAATCTTGTTCGGCATTTGCCCTGTGGCACTATTTGTAGTACAGGTGTGATGTGTGACTCAACAAACATTGAGGGTACTTTGTAGCTGTTCGCTCTGTCTAGCTGTATGGCAGTGAGTCTTGATAGTTGAAGATAGGAAAGATTAGTCTTTTAACATCAGGCGTCCTTTGTCAGTCGTTCGCATTAGTTCCAGCATGTTAAGTAATAATGAAGCCTAGTGTTATGTATAATAGTAAGTTGATTTGACGAAGATTTGGTGCTCATTGTCTAGTCTGGTTTGAAATTGCTACGCATATTCATTAATGAGGAGCGGTAGTTGAATTAGAAATAGACTGGAAAAGAGCTAAATTCATGAATTTATTGTGTATGTTTGAGTCTCACGGGTAGATACAAGTTGTGTGGATAGAGTCCTCTATACTGAAAATCAATAATTACACACCTGTTAGCCTATTGTAGTATTATTATATTTCTCTCTTCCTCTTTAGTGTGTTTTATTTTCCTAAGATAAGAGATTGGACTTCATCTATGCTGTCTTACGTTGATTTATCAGTCCATTAGTTATCACCAGTTATATTATTCATATTTAGCGTCTTCCTATGATAATATTTTGTTTTAATTTGTTTTTTCAATGTATTTTTTCCATAGTCAACTAGCATTATTGATGGTCTACACTGTGTGCATACAGCTCTTAGTATTATTTCATCGTCTGATGCTTCAGATGTTCTTGCAACAGATCCCACTGTTTTTTGTAATCATCTATACACTATCCTCGGTCGTATAGCAGGTGTTGCTGCATGTACGGATAATGATTGTGGAAGTGAAATTTCTCATCTCTCTCGCATGAGCAAAGCCTATGATCGTTCAAACACCCCAGCAGCTCAAGCAGTTGCCAGTTTGCTGCATCGGTACAAAGTCACAGAAAATCCAGAAGAAACTACATGTTCCGACGAAATCAGTAGTATCACAGCCAATGTAAGCGAAAGGATCGCTGCTGATGAAGTTGAACACCTAACAAATACTCTTATATCATGTCTAAATATGCTCCTCATCAAACGAAAGCATGAGGTTTCAGTGAACCGAGTTTTAGCCTTCGCAAAGCGCATGATAAGCTCGGCTTTGAATGTGGTAAGTCTTTCTTCAGATACATGCAGTTACAAATCAAATGGATTTATGGATTGAATTTCGCAGGTAAACCGAGGAATACCTTGTACAGTAGTTTATTTGTGGTCATTGTAACTTGTTTATATGAGTTCACTTGCTCTTTTAGAGTAGTGAGTTTTAATAATACTCACTGTTCGCTTTGTTAACATATCATAAGATATATACTAAGTGTTATTACATAAAAAATGATAACGCTTCCTAGTTTGATTTTAGTAATTTCATCTTTTCCGTGAAAGTAGGGACTATTTTCGATGTTATTCACAAAATGCATGTAACCCTCACATAAAAATACGTTTAAACTCTTTTTTCACGCTCTGACAATTATGAAAATTAAAATGGAATCTTTAGATTCCAAATTTCCATTCACTTAGTAAATACGGGATATACGTGACTTGGATATGTATATAAATTTTTCTTTTAATTAACGTTATGTGACTCATATACGTTTCGAACTAACCACTGTAATTTCTACGTTTTAATTGTATTCGGATCTTCTCAGCTTACTACACTACTATACTACTATCTGTCTGTCTGTCTGTTTATATTCAATATAAAAGTAACTAGAAACGTAGTAGTATATAATGAAATGATTAAGACACTCTACTCGTACTCATACAGCCAGGTGAGGGCTTACGGCGAGCTGTCATCTGAACTGGTGACGACCAGTGGTGTCCGTCAAGGATGCCCATTATCCCCATTTCTATTCAACTTCATCATAGATGTGTTAATGGACTTAACCCTAAGTGACTTCAGCAACTCAGGGATTGACTTGCTACCAGGGACTAATCTCGTTGACTTGGAATATGCAGACGACATAGTCCTTCTAGGCGAAGACGCTGACGAAATGCAGAGTCTTCTAAACACCTTGAGCCGCAATCTACGAATGTTTGGAATGCGATTCGCTCCTGCCAAATGCAAGATGATGTTACAGGACTGGACTACATCGACGCCTAGTTTAAAAATAGGAAGTGAAATGGTAGAGCACGTTGACCGCTCCACTTATTTGGGAAGTACCATCAGCCAGTGCCAACGGGTTGATCTGTGACGAAATCTCAGCACGAATACAGGGGGCTCGTTTCGCATTTGCCAGTTTACGCCGACTCTGGCGTAGACGAGATGTTCGACTATCGACCAAAGGACGGGTGTACTGCTCATCAGTCCGCTCCGTCCTCCTTTATGTGAGACCTGGTCACTGAGAGTGGAAGACATGAAAAGACTAGCTGTCTTTGATCATAGGTGCCTGCGCTCTATTTCCTGTGTAAAGTGGCATAATAAGGTGAGCAACATTGAGGTTAGGCGTAGAGTTCTAGGTAAACAGGGGAATTCAATCGACGAAGTCGTGAAGTTACAAAGACTGAGATGGTTAGGACATGTGTTACGTAAGCCAAGCCATCGCCTCCCTGGACGAGCAATGTTAGCGGATATAGGGTCAGGCTGGAAAAAAGCTAGCGGCGGTCAAACAAAAGCTTGGCTGCACCAGTCAATGAAATCCACAACAGTTAGTCTAAGCCAGCCACGTAGGAAGGTGTAGACTTCCAGGCTGGGGTCCTCGGGCCGGTAAAAATCAATGGTTGGAAACAATTGGGGACACGGCTCAAAATCGTTCTCAGTGGCGCAGATGCATCCACTCCTTGTGACTTATGATCTCCAATGAAACTGTTTTGTTTTTCCTTATTACTCCTTTGTCTCACACCTCTGCTCACTGTTTCTATTATGCTTTTCTTGTACTTTCTTCTCTTGCTTCGCGTGCTACACGGAGTGTGGCGACTTGAACTTCCGCACATTTGTGCAAAGTTCTATTTCGAAAACAGACAGCTGTGCGCTACGTGGAGTTTGGCAGCTCGAACTGTTGCACATCTGTGAAAAGTTCTACATTGAAACCAGTCACTGTCGATAAACATCTATTTAAAACCTAAAGACGTATGACCAATCTTTTTTGCGACAAATACTATAGTCCCACTGTATTTTAAATTGTTTAAAAAATCAGTAATCACGGCGTATTAATTGTGGAGTCTTGGCTCATTGGTCTAGGCGCTCGACTTCTATTTAGTGGGTGGTCACAGGTTCAAATCCCGCTCCACCTAAGGGAGTTCGGACAGTGAGTTTCGCACATTGCCAACTGCATAGTATTGCAAGTGGTTATTGAATAACACTGATTTAAGTGTAATAATTAGGGGTTGAAGTCCAATATTCTTTGATTGACCTTAAAACACAAGTGTTGTCTACGTATAATACTGTTTTATTACATTTTTGATAACATGAAACTCAACTGTTTTCCGTCTATTCAGTCAGATCCATATTGTTCAAGTTTTTTACTCATCAAACTGTTTCATCTTCTTCGACTCTTCCCTCGTTGTGAAATTCTGTTTGACTGTGATGCAGAAATATGCGGTAACTATAGACCGGAAGTTAACGATCCAGAATTATGCGTCCCAGGAAGTGCATGCCTGTGGGAACTACTTTTATTGAAAAGTCATAGTAACCCCGTGGTAAGCAACCTTAATTTTCGTTAATAATCCTACATTAATGGCTCACACTTATTCCCCTTCATGAATATGAATAAAGAAAACAGTTGTTTTTGCTTTGTTCGAACAGTGACTCATTGAGCCTTCATAGTTATAACTTCATGTTTCCACCTAACGGGTAGTAAGACATGAAACATCTTTTGATTACATTAGTTTTAACTGATTAAAAATGCCCATTAACATTTTCAACAGAATGGATACTGAACAAAGAGTACTCTTTTTGATAAATTCATCATCAGGCTCTACATTTATACATACATTACAGTGAATGAACGAATTAGTGTTATGAACAACATTAATGTTTAAATCACATCAAATCAATAATAGTGATAGATTACAGCTGAATCACATCAACACAAAATAAGCTGAATGTCGGAAGAATTAGGAAAGATAATATTACAAATTCATGAGTTTATAGTTTCTACTGAAGGTCAAAGCAATAGTAGGGACCGGAGTTGCTTCTTTTGGATACAGAGCGCTGGTTGTTTGAGGCGAATCGCAATAATAGCCTCCGCTGTTTGGAGCCTGCGGTGCTTCGATGTTTTTGGTAATTTATTTGGCACCCGGTATAATATAGAAAAGGATTCATCTACGCTGGCTTTGTCCTGTTTGCACCAGATGTTCCAATATCGAGCTGTTAATATTTTTCACTACACCTTTACTTAGCCATAGTGGAAGATGTTCTCGAGTGAGCACGAAAAATCAAGTTCCTAGAGCTACGGCCAATATAACTGGCTCCACCATCAGCGCAATTGAATTGATAGATACAATTAGAAGTGGCTAGTTCAGGTACTTCATCTTTCAGTCGAGGAATCACCATCGGTCGTGCAGAGAATAGTTTTTTATGTAAATCTGTACCTATTATCAAGTAATATTCTTTAGTACACCTAGCGTGTAATAAAACTTCCGTCCCTACTTTTTGTATGGTTTTCTCAAAAAGAGATGTGTATAACTGATGCAAACTTATGTAATTTGTAGTAGGAAATGTATTCGCGCATCTACACATTAGTCACCGACTAAATTACCTCTAAGAAGTCAATGGATTTCATATTTTTGTGATACGCCAAGAAACATCTTAAATATTAAGACGCATACGTGCATGTTTTAAGTTAGTCGCAAAATTTTTTAACAGTTATATTCTAAAACTCATGATACGTACAGGTATTCAGATATCTTGGAAGTCATAGATTACAGTTACTAAGTTTCAAGTACATTTCTATAGTTTTACTTTAAATTCCTGATAATTATAATCTAAGGTGTTTGTGTATAAATCACACAAATATCGCGTGGATAAAGTAAACGGATTCATCTCGTTATTCATAACATCATTTCAAAAGATGCTGACCATCGTCCAATTTTGATTTTTGTATCCGTATTGCAATCAAACTCCACTCAATCTCATGTTCTACCTATCAAATTGTTGTTAATAGTGATTAACATGAATAGTTGGAAACTGGCTTCAGTCTTACGAGACCTAGCTGAAAATTTGATGCTATTTGGTACATCACACTTTGGTGTATACATTACTGATGTCCCGACATGTCCTCTAGGAGTCATAAATGTATCACTTGATTGTGATAAATGTACCAACCGTACTCCAGTTGTCGTCAGTAACAAGCACGTACCTGTACCTTTTAGTATAATTGTCTATTTCCTATCGGAATTCCCAGGATCTCGACGGTTTATCCGACATATTCATATACTGACAGTGAAACTATCGAGAATAGCCTTGAGCTAACCGACTCTTATGAGTATAATGAGCGACGATTCAAGAAGAACTGAGCTACAGAACCCTGATGTTAACCGGGTCATCATTTTATTGTCAAACGACTGACAAGGACCAAAACAACACCCCTAGCTTGCAATAACTCAGTGCAGTATATGAATCTTCTCAGCCTTATTACTCTTAGTTAATACTATAAATGGACCCTCAAAATAACGTGTCGACAGATCTTTTCTTCACATAAATCTTGATTGGAAATAACCCAAGTTTTTCTCTAGTGCATACTTAGATAATGTGATGCCAGGTGTTTCTTAATACTTCTCAATTAAAGGAATTCACCTTTTTCTGCAATTTGTGTATATTTTGGAATGTTCATGACGTTGTGTCTATAACAGAATTGGCAGTGGAGCCACTTTTAGACGACTTGCTTGTATTTTTATTTTTAGGTACATCAGTTAGCTTCTCTAATTATGCAATGGGGAAATGACATGTGCAGGCATGGAGCTGGAGCCACCTCTACTAAACAGTACAAGCTGGCTTTCGATGGTGAAGAAATCTCTTTAGACCATTTAGCACAGCTGCCATCTGAAGAGTTACACGTTGAATTGAAGGAGCTAATTGAAAAAGAAACTCCTCCTTCGAAAGAGCAATCCAGAAAACAAGTGGACAGTTCATTTTATCACCCTTCAAATTATTTCATGGAATACATGTCTAGCTGCAATCTAATATCAGATGGACAGCCAAGTGCTAAAAGACTAAAGTCTTCATGATTTCATTTTGTAAATTCCTCGCATACCTGTAAATTCTAATGTACTGAGAGTGATATTTTATTTCTTTTCCCAATAATGACTATTTTCACTTGTGTGTTCTGATTCATAACGAGTTTCAAGTTAGCGGTATCCACGTTAGTATATTCGTAGGGTCACAATAAATGATAGTATAAAGCTGTATGACTAATCCTGATTACCTTGGAATATGTAATGTTTTTGGATCCCTTTGGAACATGACTTTAATATTCTCCCTCGCCACAACAATTGTGGTGGTGATTAAAAAGTAGGGAAGCCTGCAAAACAGCTAAATGCGAGGTCGTACGTAACTTAATGCTACATAAGGAGAAATCACACATAATCAATCTGATTCAGGGCAAGAACTGTAATCAACAAACAAGGCATTTATCATGTTACTTGAGAAAGTGATTTTCAAGTGTTGGTTTGTAGGGATTTTTGTTTGATTAGTTGGAGGATTTCATCACTAGCTGACATCAATTAGAGAACCATTGGGAAGCCGTGACCAGTAGGATACAACAGGTTGAAGATGAAGACAGTTACTGATCAAAGATATTGCGAAATGGTCGTGAATTGGCCATTGGATCGGGTTCCAGTGGCCTAATGGTCTATGAGCTCGCTTTGTAACCAGAAGGATCAAACCCCTGTGGTGAGTGCATACTGTGAAGAGTCCCAAACCAGGACGAAACAGTTATCCAACACGTCTAGGTTTTTCAGTGGCTCTCTAATTGATGTCACCTCATAATGAAATCCTTCGACTAATGAAAGTGATTTTCCCACTCTTTTAAGACTGTACAATGTCAGCGTCCCATTTCCACAGTTTGCAACAATATATGAATTAATCTAATTACAGGAAAAGGATGTAAGTGTCTTGATAACTGAGTAAACTAAAGCTGTATAGCAGAAGTAAGACATTCTGGATAACATATGTAACTAAATGAGGGGCTTTGATTAAATGTACTATGATCGAAGACATTGTTCAGGTGTTTAACTGCCGATAGAATTCGAAATAAAGTATCATCAAAATAATCTTTACCTAGTAAGCGTTGCTGTGGTACTCTACCACAATTTAAACCAACCTTTGCATCAGTTGTTTGGACAGGTGAATGAACAAATCTACATATTTAATAAATACAACGGTTTTATGCGCCAAATACATTCACTAATGTAAAGTAAAAGGTAGCATCTTTACTAATATATTTTATAAGTGCGACTTATATTGTTTCAGCTATCACACATACAAATTTTCTAATGGATGACTATAAAAGTTCAGATGGAATTTATTTCGTCGATAAAAATCTTCTTGACAAGTCAGGAAAATAAACGAAAAGTCAACGTAATTTGCACTCAGAATTTTTACTGAAAAGTTCTTCATTGTCTATGGCTAAGGTTGCTATTTTTCGCAACCCTGATCGAAAAATGCTAAGCTTACAAACACGCTTGATTCGAGCATTCGATTATTTTTTTACATGTTTAAGCGAGAGGGTCCCCAATTACTTGGGTGTAGGAAAACAAAGAAAATAAAACAAAAGTCTATCGTCATAAACGAGGTTTAATTTTTGGTGATCTCTGGCTATCGCCTAATAATTGTGTTAGGTCATCGTAAGTGAGAACTTCTTTTTTTACAAGGGCATCAATTAATACTAGGAGGTTTCGCTTATTTTCTTGTAGCATTTGTACACAACGTTTAAATGCTGAAGTTACAAGTTGATGAGCTTCTAGCTCCATCATAGCTTCAGTTTTCTGGCAGAAAGGTTTCACAGAAAACCGTCCACTTGATGATTCCTCCTGAAATAGTAAGTAAGATACAGACGTTTAAGTTCGTGTGAATTAAGTTTTCTAAGAATTAATACTTAGCATACTTTCACATGCCTTAAATCTTACCTAATCGCTTATGCTCAATAAAAGAGGCATGCAAATCAGTGCTGAAAGACATATACAAGAGAGGTGGGGCGCTAAGAAACAAAATTATATGACAACCACGATTTCGTGTGAAAGAAATGCACAGTTCCATGAGTAAATAAATTAGGATATCGCATTTTAAGTGGTACTAAATGTTTGACAGAATGAAAGAAAACAAACATAAGTTTTGAAATAGATCGTCTAGACTTATTAATCATTGGTTTCTGTAGGTTTGAGATTCTCAAATTTACAGCTGACTGACTGCTTTCAACGTAGAACTTAGCACAGATATGCAGGAGTTTAAATTGTCACACTGCATGTAGCATACAAACCAAGAGTAAAGAGAGGTTCCAGGAATTCATGATCATGATTCTTCCAAGAATTAAATTGATTTTCCCCCGAGTCTGTATATCCTTAAACATACTTTCTAACATTCGCTTAAACATTACATTATAGAATACATGGAAGAAATGTTCTATGAATGTGAACGTATCAAACAAATACTGCCTTAGAAACTGATCATTCATAAATCAAGTATTTTGCTATAGTGTACAAAAGTATTGTAGCTAAAATTAATGCGTATATAGTGGGCCTTACATGGTACTATCAGTGGATTACTTTAGGTGTTTTAAGTTTTGTTTTAACAGATACACATCTGGACAGGCTCAAACGCCATTTTGTGTTCCTTTCTTGTGCCGTTGATACTGAACACGTGGTTCAGCCGTAATAGCCAGATAAGTTCTAAAATCTTTCCCCTAAATAACTTAAACTTTTTATCACATTCAAATATACTGCTAATCCGATTACACCACTTAATAACTGAGACTTTTGCTTTATATCAATACTTAAGAGTTAGGTAGTGTATTGATTGGTTGAGTAATTAGGCCTTCTACGTTTAGTAAAGCTGCTATACTCTAGTTAGTCAGTAGCACAGCCAGCACCATTATATGAATACACACACTGAATAAATTTCCTTAAAAATGAATACATTTCTTCCACTACATACGACCAGTTTGTAAAAAAAAACACAATTTGCCCGTAATAAAACAGTTTGAAAAAATATGAGTTTCCCGGTATAACTGGCAAATATAATTTTAAAAAAACTATGAAAAACACTACTTACATCGAAGCTAAGGTTGCCAATTGTTTTCGACATGCCAAATTGACGAACTTGTTTCATGGCTAATTTACTGGCTTGACGTAAATACTTCTGTGAAACTGTAAGTGGATTATATACACAATGTAAAAAAACAGTTTGATTAATATCATCTACGACATTTCAATGAAACGCATTGGCATACTAAAGATTTACATCATACAGAAGTAGATATAGTGTGATTCACACATCCCCATACATACATACACACACACACACAACTCAGTGAGTATTCTAGTTCCTCCGCACGTCATTAGTGAAATGAGTGCCTTATTATTGCATTTTGGCTTTGATAGCAGGTGATGTTAGCTTAGAAATGTGGAAAAAATTGTGAGCTTTCCTCAGCTCATCTGTACTGATCAGCTTTACTGCTAAGTATAAGAGCTTTGTGGTTACTGATTCCAAACACCTAACAATAAATTCGCATCTTTCTGAATAGCTTAAAATGATAAACTAAAATACAATATCACTGATTTAAAAGTGATTTGCTGATATTGAACACATAATAACGCTGACTGAATTTAGTGTAAAATGAAATTACCATCGGAAATAGCATCGTAAACAATGTGTTCAGCTGCCCTGCCTCCAAGTAACACAGCCATACGATCAGCAAGATCCTCGCTATTCAAAAGATATTTTTCTTCTGATATCAGTTGAGTGAAACCCAAATCTCCGACTGTATCTGGACCAGAAACTGTACGTGGTATAATCGAAACTTTCACTGGAAGCAATCCACTACGCGGAAGTAGCCATGCTACGAGAGCTCTGCCTGACTCATGCACAGCAGCCATATGACGTTCAGCAGCAGTAAGGGGATTGGAACGTTTCGCAGTACCTGGCAAGACAGTAAAAAAAATAATTCAAAAACCTTGTTATCTAATATAAAACATTCCTTAACTGCTATTGCTTCATAAAGAAAATTACATTGAAAACGAATAACCCCTAGGGAGGGACCTTCGAAGGAAAACTTGGAAAACAGCGTGCGAAATTGACAGGCTTTGAATAAAAGTGTTTTCTACAGTGAGACTCATTCAAGTTCTTTTATCGTGTAATTCGTCACAAACAGACATCAGTAAAAGACCAGTGAAAACCAAAGGCGTGTGTTATCATTCTTTAAGACTTATGCAGCGTACACAGATGATCCTGAAGATTCACCTTCAAACCACAAGGTTTAAAGACAAACAATGCAACCTGAACACTTAGTCGGATGTGAAGAATCCACGATTTTCAACACATCCTAATCTGTTTAAGCAGCCCAAAACATTAACCAAATAAAAGAAACAAGGGATTTTGTTTTTACCCAGTTTAACATTCGATACAAAGATTATTATTATTTCCTTCAATTCCTGGAGGAACATGGGGCTTCACCTGCGAATCTCCATTGCCTTCTGTTTTCTGACAACGTTTTCACCTCGCTCCAAGTCTGCCCACATGCTTTCATCTCCTCCTCACATGACCTCCTCCAAGTCACCTTTGCACGACCAACTCGCCGCTTCCCTTTCGGGTTCCACTCGAGCAATGGCTTGTCTAGTGATGTCACTTGATGGTTTCCTCAGACTATGGCTAATCCACCTCCATTTCTTTCTGCCTATTTGTTTCACAGTCGGTTCGCTCATTGCCAGAGATCCGTCCCTGTTGCTGATCTCTTCTGGCCATCTGATCTTGGGTATTGAGCGAAGACAACTGTTAATGAAGGTCTGAAGTTTGTTGGAGATGCTCTTTATGACGCGCAGTGCAAGTCTCTGATCCGTATAGTAGCACTGACTGACTTCACATTTGAGTTGAAAATCCGGATCTTATTTTTTATGCTGGGTGATGTTGACCTCCACACAGACTTAAGGGTAATGAAAGCCTGTCTTGCATTTCCGATTCTGGCTTTGATATCCTCGTCAGTTCCGCCTGTAGTTGAAACGATGCTTCCCAGGTAGGTGAAGGAGGTTGTTTCTTTCAGGTTCCTCCTATTTATGCGACACAAAGATATTACAATAAAATATAATCATGTCTAAAAGAACCACTGAAAAATCACCTGCTAATATTTTTTCAAAAGCAACTTCAAAATCAGCTTTTGTCACACCGAAAACTTCACTATCTCTTCGAGCAGCAACTAAGGCCGCTTCATTGCACAAACGAGAAATATCAGCTCCAGTCATTCCAGGACACCATCCCGATAATCTTTCAACGAGTTCATCTTGTACAACATCAGGAGCAAGTTGATATTTAGCTGGGAGCATGAAAAAACAATAACTTTAACGATATATTGTATTATAAACGAGATTATATATGTAGAGAGAGTGAGGTTTCTGAAATATATTAGGAAATAATTTCCACACTTAACACAAACTAGATTTTGTCCTGAGGATCGATCACGCAAGAAGAACAGGAATTTTATTAGTAATTTGTATCAACACGTAGACAATCATTTAGACACGTTTAATCGATTTCAAGAACTAACAAATTAATTTATATCAGCTTTCGAAAAGTAATGAACAAGTACAAATATGTACGTTAGTTGTGATAAGTATTTGAGCTGTAAATTCAATTTTGTGGGCATTCCAACGTAAAAATAAGTTTCCATTTAATCGTAGAAATTGAGTAATTATGGATTCGAAAGTAAGTTGCAACTCAGTTACCTATAACAAAATTTTAGTGATACAATCTAGTCGCCCAGATGGGATAGAGTTTGAACCTGCGAGCTACAGATAAGGTGATTAAATCAATGAGCCATATGACGATTTCCCTTTTTGTTGCTATTCCTTCTTGTTTCATAAATGCAATTGTACAGCTAAAGCAAATGAGTTGGTTACAAAGAACCTCTTCCTTGAACTACTGCATCCATTTTCAATTGAATCAAAAATATACATTATTACATCTTTCTCATTAAATCGTTTTATACGGACATCAGGTGTACGAGATTAAGGTGGGACAGCTACAATTAATGCATACAATGATCTGAAAGTTGATTTGCTATTCACAATTTTGCCGTACTGTGTCAAAACATTCTAGCGAAACGCTTCAGATCTGATAGTTACAATTTCGAATTTACTTTTATACTCCACAACTTAGGCACAGTTGCGCTGTACAAAACCTAGGCACACTCGATGGTTACGGGGTCAAACTCTGACCAACATTTCGAGGTACATGCAGCTATATCATATCTATTGTATTTTTATCCATGTGATTGTCATGTAATAAACAAATGATACTGTGGTGATTGCTACTTATAATCACATACAAGTAGTATGCCAGTAAGCGAATTTAGAAAAGTGACAATATGTTTGGAGCACTGGAAAAAGCAATCGAAGAACAGAAATTCGGGTAGAGCGTTAGAAACACTGTTCAGAATCCAACAAGCTATTCGACTAATTTACAAATGGTGTGCAAATAAAGACTTAAATATTAGGTAGACCAAATTTATGAACCTACAATGCGTTTGTCCTAATAAACATTGCCTTCGAGCTTTATCGGTCTTTTCTTCTTTTTACAATATTACCAAATATGTGATTATAATAAGCAGTGGACATCAGTATAGCAATATTATGATGAACAGGATCTACCTACCAATGTATAAAGCGAATATTTCTTTACGTTCAGCCAAATTGGGTAGATCAACAAAGATATGTCTATCAAATCGTCCTGAACGCAGTAAGGCTCTGTCTAATAGGTCAGCTCGATTTGTAGCCGCAAATACAATAACACCTTCAGTTGTATCCATTCCATCCATTTCTACAAGTAGTTGATTTAATGTTTGTTCCATCTCAGATACACCACCCCCGCCGCCGCCTCTACTGCCTCTGTAATAGATAATAATAATAATTTCGCTTTTATTCCTGAAACAGTACTAGTGGTACAGTGTGGAATTTTCAGCACTTATCTACAATATTGCATCTAATTTCATCGCACATTTAAAAGGAGTATTACAAAAAAATAAATATAAAAAACAACAACAAAAAAACACAAAACACCAAAAAATACGACATAGAATGGAAAATAAACAACATAATAAATAATATCTCAGCATTGGGCAGTGGAAGCTATGATATGTGTATGAGTGGTGAACAGTAACAGCTATAATCATACAAGAAGTTATGAAGTGATATTAAGAATGTTTGTCGCATGATCAGTCAATTTGATTCAACAACACTAAACAATCACAAAATAAACATTCCAGGTTGTGTATTTTTATCGTCAGCTCTAATGCGGTGTTTGTAGTGGCAGTGTGAGTTATCCTGAATAATACAAACTTTTAAGATGGCGATAATGGCGTCCACAACCAAGATCGTCAGTTAATATTGCCGAACAAAAAACAACTACAAAACTAATATTACATGATGGTTAATGACAGGACACTTTTGTAATACTCATAGTGCTAATATAGTCGGAACGAGTAGATACACAAAAGAAGGAATAGAGTAAAGTACAAAAAAAGTAAGCCAATGGTAATAATTTAAGTAGCTAAGTATGTTTAAGGTGTTCACTACAGAATACAAATAAGAGAAATAAAAGAGGCAAAATTATGTTATTAACAACAAAGCAAGTCATAGCTTTCGCGCTTAACATTGTCTCTGTCACTTAGAACACGGGCGAAATATGGTGTCGTTGAGTTCCTATACTTGGTTGTACGAACATATATTATTTTGTACTAATTTCTGGTTCTACCTGATGAGATACAAGGAGAGAGTTGGGAATAGAGGGGGTGCTGGGGGTCGGAGAGTATGGTTTTAAACCATTTTTCGCATGTATTCAGATGCCTTTCTACTAATGTAGTGACGAGCTGACTGAGTTTTACACCACTAGTCCCACTAACCGCCTTCAACATCCTTCTCAGGATGGTATAGTCCGTTCTCAGCATCCCAGGAAAGACTAATGGGGCAGTAAAGTAGAATATGTACGATACGAGAGTTGACGAATTGTGAAAGTAGAGGTTGGGTGATTCTAGATAGTCTAAGTTTCTTAATGTAGTAGGCTAGACGTAACACTTTCTTAGAAATCGTTAGGATATAAGATGACCATATCCTAACGATTCTACTGCCTCTGTAATAGTTACAAATCCAATTGAAAAAATAATTTACCTAGGAAAAAAAATGAGGATATAAGTTTTCATATCATGAATCCGATAATCTGATAACACCTGCTTTGAGGTTTCTATGGCAAACTTTGGATTTATTTTTGACGTAAGAAGGTGTCTCAAACTCCTCATCTAACCCTCCCTTCTTCACCGCGCTTACGACCGGAAAGTAAACTACGTGAGGTTGTGATAATACTGAATCTCCGAAAATTTAGTGTCAAACAAAAAGACGGTATTATGGCATTAGTAAAAACAGACGTGCATACATCATTTGATAGCTATATTAGATTCTAAAATTCAGAATTCAAGCGTTGGTTTGTAGGGATTTGGTTGATTACAGGATCTCATCATGAGCTGACATTAGTTAGATAACCATTGGAAAACCTCCGAGTATTGCACAGCTGTTTCGTCCTAATTTGAGACTCTTCGCAGCAAGCACCCATCGGGATTCGAACCCAGGACCTTCTGGTTACAAGGCTAGCGAGCTCATATACCATTAAGCGACTGGGACCCACGACCCAATGGCCCGTGAATTCTAACTTCTGTCAAATCACGACATAGCGCAACCCCTGGCCAATGTCTTCGGTGAGTATTTGTACTCACAACCGACCTGCTGCACTCTACTTGTCACGAATTCTCCAAAGAATTTGAATTCCTAACTCGTGTTGTATAGAGATTTCTTCCTAAACAATAAAATGATTGCAAATTTATGCAACTCGGTTTTATGGGATGATCCACTGGTGATGCTATTTTATATGCCAGTAATTTCTAACTTAATAGTTCAAAGATAACAGGAGGAAATGAACAAGCATATACAACATAGGAATTGATGTGATTGTGACACAGCTAGAGCTGCAACATTTTACCGAGGAAATAATTAATAGAAGGGAAGACTAAAAATGAAAATAACGCTGATAGAAGCTAAAGATAATATAATGAAATGAAAAAGCAACAGTAATGAGTAGTCCTAAAATGTTCGTTATCTTCTAGATCTAGACGGATAATATCGCTTAAGTGTTTGAATAATCCTGCAGCTCATCACTGTGGCCACTGACTATATTATTTCCATTTCATTATCCGCCTTTTTATTACATTCCACATGATGCGCATATACGAAGTGTAGCAATTGGAACCACGATTTCGCTTCTGTTCGCTCAACCATGAGGCAATAAAGCTTGACACCCTTAATTTATACAACTGACATTTTACTTCCTAATTTAAGTTTTACACCGCATATATGTTAAGTCACTAATTTTTTCCACTTATGCACCATCTTTGTGTACACTTAAGTATTTTTATTCGAATAGAAGCCATGTGGAAGATGGATTCGTGTATGCGAATTTAATTGGTGGATGGTGACTAGCAGTGGAATCCAGGATGCGCGTTTCGTCCTATTTTCGACCGGTCATCTGGATGTGCCTGCATTCCCCAGTGAGTGATGATGTTCCCACCGACATGTCAACCTGAGACCGAGCACTTCGGTCCAATCGATCGACGGGAAAATCTAAAATTCAATTACATTCATGTATTTCTTTGAATTACGGTTTGTCGTTAAAATGAATATGACAACGGGAGAGAGAGACAGTCTGAATTATACGACTATTTTAATGCAAGTGATAAAATATTTACATTTTTCATCATTTGAAGCACAGATTAGAAACGAAGTACACTTGATAGCTTTCTCCCTTGTACACTGACAGTACTCGAATTTGTATAAATGACCAATTTTGAGGATACACCTCATAACTTAAACGTTTCGGAGTAAATATGTAGCATTTAGATATTGGGACTCTAGAGATATGATTAATTTCAATTTCGATTTCTTCCTCTTCACGGTGACTTGTAAAGTCCCTTAATCCAAGTATGAAAATAGATACCCATCAATAACACCAAATGTAGGCAGTGGTGTATCGTAAATTAATTGAATTTAGAATTTCTGTATCACTGGAGTCTAATCCAAGGAGCACAGGGTAAACGTGCTTGGCTTGTGACCTGAAGATGTTATAAAGGACTTCAGGTGAATTCATCGGTGCACAATAGTGAGAAGTCGAAACCAGAACGAGGTAACTGTCCAGTAATCCCTGATTTTCAATGATTTTCTAACTGATATTTGTTTGTGAAGATATGTAAATCGGAGTATGTAATATCTACACTGCGAAAGTGAAAATCGAAAACATTCCGCATTCAACACTACTTAGGTCTGAAGGGAACACACTACTGTTCAATACCCATTTTAAAAATGAGATCAAAACTTAGTATACACTATCAAGGCAAAAGGTTTTAAACTAGATTGCAGAAGGCATAAAATGCGAAAATATATCATTAAATGTGAGCAGCGTCACCATCAATGACCAGAAATTTACCTTCCGCTGTCAACAGAACTACGACGTCGTCCAAGGGAGTCAAGTTCATCTATAAATATTATAGCTGGTGGCTGAGAACGAGCAATTTTAAAAAGCTGTCGTAAACGAAGAGCTCCAAGTCCACCAATAACCTCCACAAACTCTGGTCCAGCCATTGAAAAGAATGGGACCTCAGCTTCATTGGCCAACGCTTTGACCTACATATTAAAGAAAGAAATACTGATATAAATCTAATTATTTGTGGGAAAAAAGTAGAAACTTGATGTGTTATGATATAAGAAACTGCATACAACTTTAAGTTTTCTCTTTGCTAACCATGCTGGATAATGTTCCCCAGTGCGTTTTACAGACAGAGTACATCAGCTGTAACATGCGTTCGCTTGTAAAATGTGCTCGGAAACACTATCCAGCATGATAAGCGAAGAGAGAACGCAAAGGTGTATAAAATTCCGTAACAACATCTGGTGAATTCAGGACATTCAGCTCCATCTGAAAAGTCCTTCAAAGTCATATACAAGACCCGACCAAACCTATCAAAGGCAGAAATCAAGATATCTAGGAATAGCTGAGGCACTGACGATCCAAAACCTCAAGCCCACTCTATGTGTTCAAAAGATATAAGACAAACCACAAGCGTTATAAAGCTAAAAGAAGATCATACAACAGATTGCACCAGCAAAAAATGCCTATATATCCTAAACAAACTGGAGATTTTTAGACAATCTTAGCGTATTAATGCGTCTTATCTGCATGTTCTAGTCAACTATTGTAGCTTTATGACCTCACTGACTCACTTTCCCTCCCCAACAAACATAATACATCTCTTTTCACCATTACTTACCATCTGGATCCGCCAAACATCAAATCTTGTGTCTTCTTTGTTGTGCAGTCTTATTCGCAATGGTGAAATAACACAAATCAGACTTCTGAACATACTAAGTGAGAATGCAACTAAAAATGACTTCATCTAGAAAGTGATTGCTTATATGCAGTAAGTTTAGACAAAACACATACACATAGAAATCAACCACACAAAACATACAAGCAAAGTCTTTCCAGTTCCTGGAGGACCAAGCAAAAGTGCTCCTTTCGGTAACTTGGCTCCTAATGCCTGGTACTTTCGAGGATCTTTTAAGTAGGACACAAATTCCATGACTTCTTGCTTGCACGCATGAAGACCAGCAACATCCTGAAACAAAAACCAAACCAAAAATAAAACACTATGAACAAACAAATACAGAAGTGATTGTAACAACTGTAGCACAAATCACTCAAACTGATACGATTTCGCAGGCATACAACAAGTGGATTTTGATAACTAAGAAGTGGAAAAATAAGAAACTAGATAAGTCTCAAAAGAAACAAATCATTTCTTGAAGAGTATAATCATAAAAGACTAATTCATCGTAGGTAAAACTAGTCATCACTCACATTCTGAAAATGATTCACCACCTCACATATCTGGTAGCGGGTAGAAAAGGAATCCCTAACTTGATTGTGATTTGAGTGCACATATGATATATGCTTCATTTCTAGCTGCTGAGTTGCATCTACGTGATTACAACTAACAGTTAACTCTAACCTAGACTCAGTTTTATTTCAATCTAACGTACGGAATTTCTCCCTCTTCCGAGATACACACTATTATCAAGGAAAATTAATGAGGGAGAATACGAGACAGTGGAAGAAACCAGTCAGTGATGGTTAGAAAACAAACATGTGGCCCACGAAACACAAACAGTAAGTGAGCGAGAAACCACATACAATAAAACGATAAAAAATTCAGAAGATGCATGAACGGAAAGGCATACGTGAAACTATATTAGGTATAAAGCCTACTGTATAAGTCTTCCAATCATTTAGTAGACCCAAAGCTTATACCAACATCCACGAGCCTCATGAAATGATGTTACCCATGTTTGATTACCTTGAGTGAGACCGTTTATATATCCATCTTTGTTTCAGCCCAGCATTTGTGCAAGCAATGGGCAAATATATGATATGATTCATGTTCCTACTATTTTAGTAAGCGAAAGTTGAAAATTGAGCTAATTAGTCCTTTTTCTCAACTAAAGCGTCTAAAAATCATATAGTTTATTCATGGCGGATGTTGTTGTTTGGTTGCTTCAGATATAGCACATTCAAGTAGTTTACAAGAGATAAGATTTAATACACCTAATAGGAACAAATTTTTAAGTCTACGAACATGCAAAGGCGTAATGCAGTGAGAAGGACACACCTTTAAAGTTAGGACTAAAATCAATCGGTCCCAAAAAGCAATACAACAATGAGCCATTGATTTACTCCAGCATCTCATATCCCATTGATTCTGCACAAACACTTGTAGCAGCAGAAGGCAAGACACGGAAGCCAAGGTATATTTTCTTCAAGTGATCAAACAGCTGTTTATATCTATACAGTTTATATTCTCTAATCAACCACTGAGTGTGGGACTTTGGCTCACATTAAACGACATGAAATAAAATGTTCAAATACATATATTATTCCGTTGCTAATGGACTGCTGAACTGTGGGAATAGTATTCAGACGTCAACATCAACAAATACAATGATTCTTGCTGTAAGAATAATATTCCGTTGGAACACATTGTCTGTATCACACCACCACACACTGTCTAGAATCTCACATCATTCAGTAGAGACAGACAAAACTAATGAAAACAAAAGCAGTATGAAATGAGATCAGAATTCCATAGAGCTTTAAAAATCATTAGTAGTACTTAAATATCTAGTACTCTGCCAAAAGCTGAAGGTAATCGTTTTGAATTACTAAAACCAGTCTCTGAAGGGAATATATCATACATTTGCATAAAAAGTAAACACCCACAGTTTAGACATCAAAACAACCCTTGTATGCTTTCTGTTTAAAATCTAATCATTTGACCCCAGGTATTCAATGTGTAGATTTAATTATGCAAAGGCCCCATTCTCAAGACCGAAATAGGTATGTTGGAGTCCCTACCCGAGACCTATTCATGGAAAACCGATTAACTAAGCCAATCAGTTATACCTCCGATTAAAAAGATAGTTGTGGCAGATGAACAACAAATATATTATACACGAGATACATATCAAAATAGAAATTCTGTCAACAGACAAAAATTAGCTGAGGACACAAGTGGGAACCTTAACATAGTCAACTTGAAGCAGGTAATAAGAAAGAACAAACAACATACCTTAAATTTTACACTTGATGTTGTGGGTTTAACTGAACTAAAACCACCAAACGGATCCCATGTGAAAGGTGAACGAAAAGAGGGACGATCACTCTCAGCATTTGCATTTGAACCCGATTCCTTCTGGGATGAATTCGGTTTAAAGTCCTCATGATGGCGTGGCATACTTTTCGTAGTAGTATCATTCACCGTCTTCCCCAAGTTGTATGATGAAACCACTCTTTTACTTGCAAACGCTAACAATCCAGTAGCCATTAATAGTAGGGCTGTACACAACTCCACTTTCCACGTCTGTAAACCCGTATCCAAAGGTCTGTGAAAAGATCAACACTGAAATGTTGAGCCAATGGAATGTTTTCTGTCTTTGTAATTAGAAGAAATATACGGTACAAATATGAATTTGTGCCAAAGGTGGGACCTCCATTCCACATGTTTCAGGGGTAGTAGATTCTCTTCAAGTTTGCACAGTACTTAGTAGGACGAATAGAAAGTTACTAAATGAAGCCAGATTAATGCCCTACCCAAAGTACCCAGAACATATTTTGCACGATCAGAGCTAACAACCCCCTCAACAAACAAAATGCATTCAAAGACAATAAGATTGCGAATAAGGTGAAGTACTATAACAAAATGTCCAGACGTTGAGGAGGTGATATTTTTGCACGACATTGTTGCGCCTACTAAATAAACTAAAAGCGCAATAACAATTCAATATTTATATCCATATTCACAAATGTTAATCACCATTCTCATAGTTTAACCAAGGCATGACATTAGTGCTTGAAATCTGTCTGGTGGTCCAAATCATGAAGGGAAGTTCAATCTACTTACCTAGAGCCTTTAAAGTCTCAGGAACCAGCAGTGGCTCTTGTTTACCTGACCTAAAATTGAACGTTATGTTGTAAACATATCCACTAATTGTCGTGGAGACTTTGGATATTATTGGTGTTCAATCAGTCAGTCGCTCGCTGCACAAACTCTCTTATTTATTTTGATTTTTCACTTCTGTTACTTCATAGTGTTACACTGTGGTGAAGTAAGTCAAAGTCTCTCGACTTTAGGATTTCTTGAAGCGTTATATTAATACTGATTTATTAGACGCTTTGAACTTGCATTGACATAAATAGATAGTCACTTACTGTGATCAAAACCAATCATAATTAGTGCTAAACTAGCCTCGTTTGTTGTCTTTTCATCACTTGACCAGGCATTTGAAGCGACTCTAACACTCAAAGTGGAATTCAACTACCCATCCAGATTGGTTGAGATCAGATGATTTTTGCCAACATGGAAGTCATGTGCAGATTTATGTCATTTTCACCATATTTCACACTGTTTATCAAATTAGAAACTTTTATACGACCCAGTAAATTAATTGTGCGCTGGTGGTTCAATGACAAAACGTCCCCAGTCACACGGGAAGTCCAAATTCGATTCGACGCTCTACGAAACCTCCCCAGTCTCCTAACATAATAGGCCGCGAAAAAAGAGGAAAATCGGACATGAGACTACCAACCCCATCTCGTAAAAAATACAACCCTATCGCTATTTAACTTCCAAAGCTTGAAGCTCTGTCTTCCACTCAGGACACGAGGGTTGATAAAACCAAATTACTTACATATCTGACGTAATGATAGGAATGCGATCATTCTCCTCTATACCCCACATATCCTCGAGAGATCTCAGTCTCTTCACGAATTCGTCCACGGTCATTGAAAGAGTCAGAGTGAACTACAAAGTATTATACATCATTATCAGTAAGATATTTCATGAATTTTCGATTCAAAAATTGTTTAAAAATATTCGAATAGTAACGAGGTGATAATTATCTACCAGATCGGGCCTGTACTGGCACAGGATTATGTAATAATCATATCCTTGGATTTAAGAAAAACATTCAGAAGATACGTGTAAGCGTAGACATTCTACGGAATACAGGGTTCACCACTTATGATTAACTTCAAAGGTATAGAGGTAAATGTGAGCGAATATTTTCAGAATCAATAAAGAAATGGCTTGTTACCTAGTGTTTGCAAAAAGTAAATCAAGTACTTATAAGTGTCTGAAATACAAACTTCGTATCTTATGAGCCACCAAGTTTCGTGGGGAGTTTCCATCCGCCTGCGAGTCAATCAGTCTCGGGAATGACGTCTACAACAGGACGGAGATATGGAACATTACGCACCTTTATCAATAAACTGCGCCAACTCATGTGGTCCTTTTATCCCACCAATAAACAAATTTATTCCAGAAGTTGTGTCAGTGATTCACTTAAAGCGAAACCGCAAATGAACATTTTGCGTAACTTGTTTAGGATGAAAAATCAAAAAGTGATGCCCAAACAAATTCGTGACTTAACGCCTTGCCAGTAACTTGAGAAATCCATGTCGGTTGATAGGCCTGTCATCAAAGGTTTCGTTATACCTATGGGTTCCAAGATTTTGGATTCATGAGGGAAACGAAAGGCAATTGTCCAAACATATTTTACACACGGAAACAAATGCCGAATTCTGCTTCAGAAGGGAACAAGACTTCACAGAAATACAAAATAATAACAAGAGTTGGGGTGGCAATAATAAAACAATTACGCAAACGTCTGACTAGAACGAACGGAAAGTATTCATTCGTGTGGTGTCGTTTGTTGAACTATAAATATCACTTTCCATACATGCTAATCAGATCAGATTGTTTGCCATACAAGTGATTTCTGAAAATAACACATTAACTGCTTATCCTCACAGTGTAATGGGAAAAAAGACGGAATCTTAACACACCTTTTCCGGGTTTTTTCTACTTAAGAATATATGGATCATGCATTTCAACGTAATCAATGAATCAAACAACTTCCACCCACTTCAATAAGAGATGGTCTATAAATAAACCATACCACACATTCTAACCATGATGGCATGCACTTTGGTTAATAAAAATAAAATGCGAACTTACGGGCATATAACCATCTTGATAAGGATAGATATTAGCAACTCCAGAAGGAGACACCACTATTCTCTGGACATTGCCTCGTTCCATCATGGAAATAAGCACCGAATATGTTATGGGCCGTGAAGGGGAAATAGTATTAAGTAGATGCCACACAACGAAAAAAATGGCAGCAGAAATACCAGCGGCAATCTTTGCATAGGGGTCTATGGATCTAGGGTTGTTACCAGAGGGTGTTCCACGTTGAGAGCCAGAGGAATAATCTGACGATACAGGTAATCACACTGCCTTTTAACTTACTAACTTTGGTGAAAGATCTGGGGAAATCATATCTGCCTCCAGTCCGTAAAGTAAACGACCATCTACGCTGCACAGAAAGGTAATAACTGATAAAAGATTTATACCAGCTGTAATGAAGCTGCTTCAGTGCGAGGGAAGAATGAAAAACACGACCTCAGAGTGGGGTTGGTCCGAAGACGAACACAAGAGCCCAAACGAAGAACATGATTCATATTGAGCAAAGTCTATCCCAGACTTTCGACCTAGACATTTGAAACCTCTTCCTACAAAAATCCAATATCCAATACCTCTTCGCCAGGCTTATGTAAACTTACGATCTGTAGCACTTGCTTCTTGTTGTTTCGGGTTGGTTGTGGATTTTCGATGGATCACAGTAGAATTGGCCGCTTCCAATATCCTACACCCAATAGATTTTCGACGAGCCTGTATGAACCATATGATTTCTCGGTGCTGGCTTCTTGATGTTTCCGAAAGGTTCGGTTGCTGCAGTCTTGCAGAACTCAGGGTGCAGGGACGTGCTTTACCAATTGCCGCATCTCATCAGCAAGGTGATGCGGGAAATGATACTTCATTCATACGATTGGCAGATTACTGTATCAAGGTGAGAAATGATGAACCCTCGGTGAATGTTTGAATGTCATGTCATACAATCGTTGTTCCTGTAGAAGACCCTGGAAGACAGATCCCAGTCACAGTTCTTTCACTATTTACAACAGCCACTGTGAGGCAACACATTGGTTGAGGCCATATGAAGCAAGGCTGGGTGGAAGTTCCCCCGAAGTAAGTGCAACGTGGACTGGATGCCTAAAGTCCTTAATCCTCGCTTGGGTAGTTAGCACGCGTTGCAGATGTAATAATGGATTACAGACGTTTCAAAGAAGGAAAGATGAACCACACGAGTATTGATAAGGGCTCTATAATCCCAGAACTCTTGCGAAACTTTCGGTTGGTCATTTGGAGCAATCTGCTGACTGGCCAGCCATTATAGGGCATCAAGTAATGTAGAAATATTGTCTCTGTGTTAACAAGAAAGCCTGGATCTGTGCTGGATTTATCACAAATTCCTGGGGAAAAATGAAGTCAGTTCTCCTATATAACTTGCTGGGCACGTTATAGTATCTTATTATTGATTTATGATCAGATGGCGTGTTAATTTAAAATGAATATTATATTTTTATTCCTCTTCCAGCAGAACCATCGTAAAGTAGCATCATGTGTGAGTTATATTCCATGCAGAACAATATCTGATATAGCCGTGTGGATTTCTTTTTTGCATCACATAAATGATAATCCTCCAAATTAGGCGATAACCACCATTTGTAGGTGCATGATTGTCTGCACGCGTGAGTTGATTAAGGTGGGGAAAACATTTTGGAAACCAGTTGTATCCCCATCTTGGGTGATGAATAATGCTCGTGCAGGATGTTATTCAGCTTCTCCAAGTGGTAACCCGGGAGGTTTTCAAAATTTTGAATTACCATGAACCAAGTGATTGAATAATGATGAGATATATGCACGTAACTGGCTTCAAGTCCTGTTTAGCTTGAGTCTTATTGCAGGTCCAGTCGATCGCCACTACAGGGCAAGTGGGACAGACGCGAAAACGGCAAAGTGCCAGAAGAAGAAACAGTACGTTGGCATAAGTAAGGCCTTAATGTTATTATATATACATTTTTACACTAGTTTCAAATTTCTGTCTCGTACACACATATTTCGATATTCTCCAATTTTGTCATATAACTATGCGACTGGTCTCTTTACCGTTTATGCAGTGAAGTTAATAAAGCTTTTTGCACCGCTTAGACATTCAGTAGTCCTATCATTTGACTCGTTCTAGAAACAGATGGTGCATTAATATTGTTTGTGTAGTCATTCGTATGCAACAGTTTGTTTAGAGGGCGTCTGAACCATGTAACAGAGTTGCAGGGTAAAACTGTTTCATATCTTAGAATACATGATTTTGAAGAAGACTGGCATTGCGACTTCAGGGCTGGGGGCCCTTGACATCGACCCATAGCAATAGCTCCCATTAATTTCTAACTGTCATTAGCCTAAACCTGGCAATCCTGAGCACAAATGTTTTGGAAGTCATGACATCCAGATGAATGGTGGAAGAAATAACCAACAACTGAGAAAACTACTAGATTGCGGATATCGAAGAGAGAAATCGTCACTCATTAAATCTAGCTCGAACTCTGCCGTCAACTAAATTTCCGAGGATAGCCTTTGAAATTCCCGAATCTAAGCGTGGCCGAAATCCGGTATTGACGTGAAAAGTCCTCACAGAGTTTCCTCTAACCACCAAAAATTTCGCAAGAGTTCTGGGATTATAGAGCCCTTATCAATACTCGTGTGGTTCATCTTTCCTTCTTTGAAACGTCTGTAATCCATTATTACATCTGCAACGCGTGCTAACTACCCAAGCGAGGATTAAGGACTTTAGGCATCCAGTCCACGTTGCACTTACTTCGGGGGGAACTTCCACCCAGCCTTGCTTCATATGGCCTCAACCAATGTGTTGCCTCACAGTGGCTGTTGTAAATAGTGAAAGAACTGTGACTGGGATCTGTCTTCCAGGGTCTTCTACAGGAACAACGATTGTATGACATGACATTCAAACATTCACCGAGGGTTCATCATTTCTCACCTTGATACAGTAATCTGCCAATCGTATGAATGAAGTATCATTTCCCGCATCACCTTGCTGATGAGATGCGGCAATTGGTAAAGCACGTCCCTGCACCCTGAGTTCTGCAAGACTGCAGCAACCGAACCTTTCGGAAACATCAAGAAGCCAGCACCGAGAAATCATATGGTTCATACAGGCTCGTCGAAAATCTATTGGGTGTAGGATATTGGAAGCGGCCAATTCTACTGTGATCCATCGAAAATCCACAACCAACCCGAAACAACAAGAAGCAAGTGCTACAGATCGTAAGTTTACATAAGCCTGGCGAAGAGGTATTGGATATTGGATTTTTGTAGGAAGAGGTTTCAAATGTCTAGGTCGAAAGTCTGGGATAGACTTTGCTCAATATGAATCATGTTCTTCGTTTGGGCTCTTGTGTTCGTCTTCGGACCAACCCCACTCTGAGGTCGTGTTTTTCATTCTTCCCTCGCACTGAAGCAGCTTCATTACAGCTGGTATAAATCTTTTATCAGTTATTACCTTTCTGTGCAGCGTAGATGGTCGTTTACTTTACGGACTGGAGGCAGATATGATTTCCCCAGATCTTTCACCAAAGTTAGTAAGTTAAAAGGCAGTGTGATTACCTGTATCGTCAGATTATTCCTCTGGCTCTCAACGTGGAACACCCTCTGGTAACAACCCTAGATCCATAGACCCCTATGCAAAGATTGCCGCTGGTATTTCTGCTGCCATTTTTTTCGTTGTGTGGCATCTACTTAATACTATTTCCCCTTCACGGCCCATAACATATTCGGTGCTTATTTCCATGATGGAACGAGGCAATGTCCAGAGAATAGTGGTGTCTCCTTCTGGAGTTGCCAATATCTATCCTTATCAAGATGGTTATATGCCCGTAAGTTCGCATTTTATTTTTATTAACCAAAGTGCATGCCATCATGGTTAGAATGTGTGGTATGGTTTATTTATAGACCATCTCTTATTGAAGTGGGTGGAAGTTGTTTGATTCATTGATTACGTTGAAATGCATGATCCATATATTCTTAAGTAGAAAAAACCCGGAAAAGGTGTGTTAAGATTCCGTCTTTTTTCCCATTACACTGTGAGGATAAGCAGTTAATGTGTTATTTTCAGAAATCACTTGTATGGCAAACAATCTGATCTGATTAGCATGTATGGAAAGTGATATTTATAGTTCAACAAACGACACCACACGAATGAATACTTTCCGTTCGTTCTAGTCAGACGTTTGCGTAATTGTTTTATTATTGCCACCCCAACTCTTGTTATTATTTTGTATTTCTGTGAAGTCTTGTTCCCTTCTGAAGCAGAATTCGGCATTTGTTTCCGTGTGTAAAATATGTTTGGACAATTGCCTTTCGTTTCCCTCATGAATCCAAAATCTTGGAACCCATAGGTATAACGAAACCTTTGATGACAGGCCTATCAACCGACATGGATTTCTCAAGTTACTGGCGAGGCGTTTGTCACTCATATCTCATGAACCGTTAATGCTCAGCTCTCGCTACGCTCGGGCTCACGCTGTTATTCGAAGATTTCTGAGAAACGCTTAGTTATAACGGACGGAAATCCATAACACCGATCTGCCGTTTGATATTTCTTTATTGTTACACCAACATATAAAAGGAATAAGCGAACTAAGGTCTGAAAACAAATATTACAATAATAAATCATTGTATTACTTCTGACGATGTTTCACTCTTCTTTCTGAACAGCGACCGATGAGACGATGACTGTCGTATTGATGCCTCCGCGAAAATTGGGGAAGTTGATTTTAAGCAAACAACCAAGAATTGATCGTTCAATCTTCAACTCCATTGACACTCCCCGGCAAAAAAGGGATCCAACCCTTTTTTCCTTCACGACCAATGCACGTTGACTTGGATGCCATTGCGAGAACCTGGGTCACACGGACAGAGCTGAAATGGAAAACAAACAGAAAAGCCAACACACCACAAGCATACCCACAGCACAATCTCACACATCAATGACGACCTGCGCCTCCAGACAGAGACCTCCTCTTGACATCTTGCAACACAATCGCCACTTGCTAGAATGACTCTTGCAGAATGCAACGTGACCATAGCACCACCTCATGATACTCTACGCACATCCTCTTATCTACTCACTACCAATTACCACTGAAATCGCTTGTCACTCATTCTGCCTCAGTTCTAGTAGCGGTGACGCATGCGAGCCTCAGTCGTTTACACTCTTTCTCCCCGGCGTGTCGGACCGCAGCTAACAATTATCTCCGTGTGCATTTCATTCTCAGCAATAGCCTAGCCTCCCCGGCGTATACGACCCATCTGCTGTCCTTAACATCAATCAATTCATTCATGGATGTAGAAGACTCGAAACAACTTCAGAAGTAATCACGACGAAAATTTTAACAAAATTACGCAATAACAACAAGATACGAAAACAACGAGTAAACACAATGAATCCAAAAACACCACCAATTGATATGACACACCACACGTATATACAAATAGTACAAACAACCTCGCCGATCATGTCTTGGTGGAATTCCTTTGAAGAATTGCAGGACTTACACCAGTACGCCTACAACCCTTCTCACGTTGACGATTGTAATTTGTGGAATGTCCGGACACAAACAAGATTAACCAACAATTACGATAATTGGAACTCACACAATTATTTAACACAAACATATGTACAATCAACACATCAAATGTTGTGGATTCTGGCATGACAAACTACCCTTGAAGAACTGTAGGACTTACAGCAGTACGCCTACATTCCTTCTCAGGTTGATGATCCAAGTGGAAGTCGTCCGGACACAAACAGAATTACCAACAGCTAGATGACAGATGATATCAATTCAGTATATACAATATGAACATATGTACAAAATCACACACCAAGCACATTGGACTGCTCATTGATGCGCTACCCTTTGAAGAATTGTAGGACTTACAGCAGTACGCCTACAACCCTTCTCAGGTTGACGCTCTAGGTTGGAAAATCGTCGCAGAGTTCATTTGCTGACTTCCTTCTATCAGCTATATCCTCAAATCTGAACGGCAACACGCCCATGTCATTGTATCGTAGAATATAGATGACCAACAAACACACGACATATCTCATCAACCAAGTGTAGAAACAGAGTAATTTACACCAAAGATAATAACATTCAAATAGTAACTTGAAACTAGAAATGCCTTTATTCGTGCAAGTCAATTTAACAATTACTCTCTCGTTTACACTTGGCTTATCCTCACTAAACTGACCATTGATATTCGTCCTTTCAAACGAACTGATACTACCATAGTCATTGCACAAGATACTTGAGTTGATGGGTGTCTGTTTCATTGTGGATGACAGCACCAACGACGACTGATTGATATCAGTTGATGAAGTTAGCGGTGGATCAGAAGCTGTTGTTGCTCGACTTTCAGAAATTTGTCTACCTGCAAGACCACCACCACTGCTGTCTTTTACTATCAGCTCAGGTTTAGCACTAGCATCTGATGATAGGTGGGCTACATGCTGATCACTCACACTGACGGTCTCACAAGTATGCATGCCTTCTGCAACTGCATCTGCATTTATTTCTACTTCACGTTCAAGTTGTACAGAACCTTTGTTCAACTTAGCGGTAGTAGGCATTCCCTCCATTTCATCATGATCAACCAAAGACAAACCTGCACTATCATGATCATTATCACAAATATTCAATTTACCGTCAACTTCATCATTTTCAAACTCTTTAATAACAGAAGTAGACAATTTTGGTTCCTCCTCGCAAATCATAAAAGGTTTTATATATTCACTCTGACTAGTAATACCTTGTAAACTTGTGGAGTCAGAACTCCACTCTGAAGCAGTAACTCTATTCTGTGACACTCTATTCAACAACGGCTTACCAGTTGCAACTACAGACTTCTTCACAACACCGTTATCGTCACACAATTCGGAGTCAGACCTGGAGTTTACATTTAGCTTATCACTGAACTTGCTCACCGGTTCACAGTTCACTTTTGTATGCACCTCTTGCAACGTGTAAAACAAACCGTGTTTGTCTTGCATCTTGTAACTTATCTGTTGAGGATGTACTACGAAACCTGTTACACTCACTAGGTCTATATGCATTACTAGACATCATGGAGTCTTCTCGATATCCACCTCTCTGAGGCCTACTCGTCATCAATGATTGCATTTTGATCTCAGACTGCTCTATTCTAGGGGTGAGATTCAATAGACTGGCAAACTTGCTCATAGATTGATTGACACTAGTATTTACCAGTTTCAGGATATCATCAAACTTTGGCTCGATACCCTCATCCTCCATACGGGAGCTTATCTTCACCCACTTCCTTTGCAGTCGAGTAGGTAGACGTCTTGCTATTACTTCTAGTATAAAACTCGAGTTGAGGTCACTCATTCGATTCATCGAAATCATTCCATTCTTGTAAATTAGCAAATTATCTAAAAACTCAGTGAGTGCCTGGGAGTCATCCTGTAATTGACCACCATTACCCTTAACAGCCTCGAATAATTTCCCTGCAATCATCGAAGGTCTTCCAAACCTTTGACGTAATATGCTCATAGCCTCGTAGTAGCCCTCTTTTGGCTTCATAAACTTACAACACTGTATAGCTCTTGCAGCATCTCCAGTGCAATATCTCATCAAATACATTAACTTCAATTCATCATTTAATAAAAACCACTCAACATGATCTCAAACTCCTTTACAAATTGTAAATAATCAGCCGGGTTTCCATCAAAACACCGTGGTTCAAATTTAGGGAGTTTGATGTTCCTATTATCCCTGAACGGCGAAACAGTAACATCAACCATGTCATGCTTAACATCAGACACATCGTTACAATTAACAGACAAGTCACCATGACTTACTTTCCTGTTTGCATCCAAGACACTCTGTCCCTTCTTTGACCCAGGCATTGTTGAACTTGACCCAATTCCAAAAAGTTCCAGATATTGCTTGTTCAAAGAGGACTTGACCGGCACCAGGAAAAATGAACGGCGACTATCCAAACTTTCACCAACTGTTTGAATCCGCCAGATCTGTTTCTATCGTCAGAAACTGTCAATCACGTCTCATAAACCGTTAATGCCCAGCTCTCGCTACGCTCGGGCCCACGCTGTTCTTCGAAGATTTCTCAGAAACGCTTAGTTATAACGGACGAAAAAACCAAAACACCGATCTGCCGTTTGATATTTCTTTATTGTTACACCAACATATAAAAAGAATAAGCGAACTAAGGTCTGAAAACAAATATTACAATAATAAATCATTGTATTACTTCTGACGATGTTTCACTCTTCTTTCTGAACAGCGACCGATGAGACGATGACTGTCGTATTGATGCCTCCGCGAAAATTGGGGAAGTTGATTTTAAGCAAACAACCAAGAATTGATCGTTCAATCTTCAACTCCATTGACAGCGTTAACTCAAGAATTTCTTTGGGCATCACTTTTTGATTTTTCATCCTAAACAAGTTACGCAAAATGTTCATTTGCGGTTGCGCTTTAAGTGAATCACTGACACAACTTCTGGAATAAATTCGTTTATTGGTGGGATAAAAGGACCACATGAGTTGGCGCAGTTTATTGATAAAGGTGCGTAATGTTCCATATCTCCGTCCTGTTGTAGACGTCATTCCCGAGACTGATCGACTCGCAGGCGGATGGAAACTCCCCACGAAACTTGGTGGCTCATAAGATACGAAGTTTGTATTTCAGACACTTATAAGTACTTGATTTACTTTTTGCAAACACTAGGTAACAAGCCATTTCTTTATTGATTCTGAAAATATTCGCTCACATTTACCTCTATACCTTTGAAGTTAATCATAAGTGGTGAACCCTGTATTCCGTAGAATGTCTACGCTTACACGTATCTTCTGAATGTTTTTCTTAAATCCAAGGATATGATTATTACATAATCCTGTGCCAGTACAGGCCCGATCTGGTAGATAATTATCACCTCGTTACTATTCGAATATTTTTAAACAATTTTTGAATCGAAAATTCATGAAATATCTTACTGATAATGATGTATAATACTTTGTAGTTTACTCTGACTCTTTCAATGACCGTGGACGAATTCGTGAAGAGACTGAGATCTCTCGAGGATATGTGGGGTATAGAGGAGAATGATCGCATTCCTATCATTACGTCAGATATGTAAGTAATTTGGTTTTATCAACCCTCGTGTCCTGAGTGGAAGACAGAGCTTCAAGCTTTGGAAGTTAAATAGCGATAGGGTTGTATTTTTTACGAGATGGGGTTGGTAGTCTCATGTCCGATTTTCCTCTTTTTTCGCGGCCTATTATGTTAGGAGACTGGGGAGGTTTCGTAGAGCGTCGAATCGAATTTGGACTTCCCGTGTGACTGGGGACGTTTTGTCATTGAACCACCAGCGCACAATTAATTTACTGGGTCGTATAAAAGTTTCTAATTTGATAAACAGTGTGAAATATGGTGAAAATGACATAAATCTGCACATGACTTCCATGTTGGCAAAAATCATCTGATCTCAACCAATCTGGATGGGTAGTTGAATTCCACTTTGAGTGTTAGAGTCGCTTCAAATGCCTGGTCAAGTGATGAAAAGACAACAAACGAGGCTAGTTTAGCACTAATTATGATTGGTTTTGATCACAGTAAGTGACTATCTATTTATGTCAATGCAAGTTCAAAGCGTCTAATAAATCAGTATTAATATAACGCTTCAAGAAATCCTAAAGTCGAGAGACTTTGACTTACTTCACCACAGTGTAACACTATGAAGTAACAGAAGTGAAAAATCAAAATAAATAAGAGAGTTTGTGCAGCGAGCGACTGACTGATTGAACACCAATAATATCCAAAGTCTCCACGACAATTAGTGGATATGTTTACAACATAACGTTCAATTTTAGGTCAGGTAAACAAGAGCCACTGCTGGTTCCTGAGACTTTAAAGGCTCTAGGTAAGTAGATTGAACTTCCCTTCATGATTTGGACCACCAGACAGATTTCAAGCACTAATGTCATGCCTTGGTTAAACTATGAGAATGGTGATTAACATTTGTGAATATGGATATAAATATTGAATTGTTATTGCGCTTTTAGTTTATTTAGTAGGCGCAACAATGTCGTGCAAAAATATCACCTCCTCAACGTCTGGACATTTTGTTATAGTACTTCACCTTATTCGCAATCTTATTGTCTTTGAATGCATTTTGTTTGTTGAGGGGGTTGTTAGCTCTGATCGTGCAAAATATGTTCTGGGTACTTTGGGTAGGGCATTAATCTGGCTTCATTTAGTAACTTTCTATTCGTCCTACTAAGTACTGTGCAAACTTGAAGAGAATCTACTACCCCTGAAACATGTGGAATGGAGGTCCCACCTTTGGCACAAATTCATATTTGTACCGTATATTTCTTCTAATTACAAAGACAGAAAACATTCCATTGGCTCAACATTTCAGTGTTGATCTTTTCACAGACCTTTGGATACGGGTTTACAGACGTGGAAAGTGGAGTTGTGTACAGCCCTACTATTAATGGCTACTGGATTGTTAGCGTTTGCAAGTAAAAGAGTGGTTTCATCATACAACTTGGGGAAGACGGTGAATGATACTACTACGAAAAGTATGCCACGCCATCATGAGGACTTTAAACCGAATTCATCCCAGAAGGAATCGGGTTCAAATGCAAATGCTGAGAGTGATCGTCCCTCTTTTCGTTCACCTTTCACATGGGATCCGTTTGGTGGTTTTAGTTCAGTTAAACCCACAACATCAAGTGTAAAATTTAAGGTATGTTGTTTGTTCTTTCTTATTACCTGCTTCAAGTTGACTATGTTAAGGTTCCCACTTGTGTCCTCAGCTAATTTTTGTCTGTTGACAGAATTTCTATTTTGATATGTATCTCGTGTATAATATATTTGTTGTTCATCTGCCACAACTATCTTTTTAATCGGAGGTATAACTGATTGGCTTAGTTAATCGGTTTTCCATGAATAGGTCTCGGGTAGGGACTCCAACATACCTATTTCGGTCTTGAGAATGGGGCCTTTGCATAATTAAATCTACACATTGAATACCTGGGGTCAAATGATTAGATTTTAAACAGAAAGCATACAAGGGTTGTTTTGATGTCTAAACTGTGGGTGTTTACTTTTTATGCAAATGTATGATATATTCCCTTCAGAGACTGGTTTTAGTAATTCAAAACGATTACCTTCAGCTTTTGGCAGAGTACTAGATATTTAAGTACTACTAATGATTTTTAAAGCTCTATGGAATTCTGATCTCATTTCATACTGCTTTTGTTTTCATTAGTTTTGTCTGTCTCTACTGAATGATGTGAGATTCTAGACAGTGTGTGGTGGTGTGATACAGACAATGTGTTCCAACGGAATATTATTCTTACAGCAAGAATCATTGTATTTGTTGATGTTGACGTCTGAATACTATTCCCACAGTTCAGCAGTCCATTAGCAACGGAATAATATATGTATTTGAACATTTTATTTCATGTCGTTTAATGTGAGCCAAAGTCCCACACTCAGTGGTTGATTAGAGAATATAAACTGTATAGATATAAACAGCTGTTTGATCACTTGAAGAAAATATACCTTGGCTTCCGTGTCTTGCCTTCTGCTGCTACAAGTGTTTGTGCAGAATCAATGGGATATGAGATGCTGGAGTAAATCAATGGCTCATTGTTGTATTGCTTTTTGGGACCGATTGATTTTAGTCCTAACTTTAAAGGTGTGTCCTTCTCACTGCATTACGCCTTTGCATGTTCGTAGACTTAAAAATTTGTTCCTATTAGGTGTATTAAATCTTATCTCTTGTAAACTACTTGAATGTGCTATATCTGAAGCAACCAAACAACAACATCCGCCATGAATAAACTATATGATTTTTAGACGCTTTAGTTGAGAAAAAGGACTAATTAGCTCAATTTTCAACTTTCGCTTACTAAAATAGTAGGAACATGAATCATATCATATATTTGCCCATTGCTTGCACAAATGCTGGGCTGAAACAAAGATGGATATATAAACGGTCTCACTCAAGGTAATCAAACATGGGTAACATCATTTCATGAGGCTCGTGGATGTTGGTATAAGCTTTGGGTCTACTAAATGATTGGAAGACTTATACAGTAGGCTTTATACCTAATATAGTTTCACGTATGCCTTTCCGTTCATGCATCTTCTGAATTTTTTATCGTTTTATTGTATGTGGTTTCTCGCTCACTTACTGTTTGTGTTTCGTGGGCCACATGTTTGTTTTCTAACCATCACTGACTGGTTTCTTCCACTGTCTCGTATTCTCCCTCATTAATTTTCCTTGATAATAGTGTGTATCTCGGAAGAGGGAGAAATTCCGTACGTTAGATTGAAATAAAACTGAGTCTAGGTTAGAGTTAACTGTTAGTTGTAATCACGTAGATGCAACTCAGCAGCTAGAAATGAAGCATATATCATATGTGCACTCAAATCACAATCAAGTTAGGGATTCCTTTTCTACCCGCTACCAGATATGTGAGGTGGTGAATCATTTTCAGAATGTGAGTGATGACTAGTTTTACCTACGATGAATTAGTCTTTTATGATTATACTCTTCAAGAAATGATTTGTTTCTTTTGAGACTTATCTAGTTTCTTATTTTTCCACTTCTTAGTTATCAAAATCCACTTGTTGTATGCCTGCGAAATCGTATCAGTTTGAGTGATTTGTGCTACAGTTGTTACAATCACTTCTGTATTTGTTTGTTCATAGTGTTTTATTTTTGGTTTGGTTTTTGTTTCAGGATGTTGCTGGTCTTCATGCGTGCAAGCAAGAAGTCATGGAATTTGTGTCCTACTTAAAAGATCCTCGAAAGTACCAGGTATTAGGAGCCAAGTTACCGAAAGGAGCACTTTTGCTTGGTCCTCCAGGAACTGGAAAGACTTTGCTTGTATGTTTTGTGTGGTTGATTTCTATGTGTATGTGTTTTGTCTGAACTTACTGCATATAAGCAATCACTTTCTAGATGAAGTCATTTTTAGTTGCATTCTCACTTAGTATGTTCAGAAGTCTGATTTGTGTTATTTCACCATTGCGGAATAAGACTGCACAACAAAGAAGACACAAGATTTGATGTTTGGCGGATCCAGATGGTAAGTAATGGTGAAAAGAGATGTATTATGTTTGTTGGGGAGGGAAAGTGAGTCAGTGAGGTCATAAAGCTACAATAGTTGACTAGAACATGCAGATAAGACGCATTAATACGCTAAGATTGTCTAAAAATCTCCAGTTTGTTTAGGATATATAGGCATTTTTTGCTGGTGCAATCTGTTGTATGATCTTCTTTTAGCTTTATAACGCTTGTGGTTTGTCTTATATCTTTTGAACACATAGAGTGGGCTTGAGGTTTTGGATCGTCAGTGCCTCAGCTATTCCTAGATATCTTGATTTCTGCCTTTGATAGGTTTGGTCGGGTCTTGTATATGACTTTGAAGGACTTTTCAGATGGAGCTGAATGTCCTGAATTCACCAGATGTTGTTACGGAATTTTATACACCTTTGCGTTCTCTCTTCGCTTATCATGCTGGATAGTGTTTCCGAGCACATTTTACAAGCGAACGCATGTTACAGCTGATGTACTCTGTCTGTAAAACGCACTGGGGAACATTATCCAGCATGGTTAGCAAAGAGAAAACTTAAAGTTGTATGCAGTTTCTTATATCATAACACATCAAGTTTCTACTTTTTTCCCACAAATAATTAGATTTATATCAGTATTTCTTTCTTTAATATGTAGGTCAAAGCGTTGGCCAATGAAGCTGAGGTCCCATTCTTTTCAATGGCTGGACCAGAGTTTGTGGAGGTTATTGGTGGACTTGGAGCTCTTCGTTTACGACAGCTTTTTAAAATTGCTCGTTCTCAGCCACCAGCTATAATATTTATAGATGAACTTGACTCCCTTGGACGACGTCGTAGTTCTGTTGACAGCGGAAGGTAAATTTCTGGTCATTGATGGTGACGCTGCTCACATTTAATGATATATTTTCGCATTTTATGCCTTCTGCAATCTAGTTTAAAACCTTTTGCCTTGATAGTGTATACTAAGTTTTGATCTCATTTTTAAAATGGGTATTGAACAGTAGTGTGTTCCCTTCAGACCTAAGTAGTGTTGAATGCGGAATGTTTTCGATTTTCACTTTCGCAGTGTAGATATTACATACTCCGATTTACATATCTTCACAAACAAATATCAGTTAGAAAATCATTGAAAATCAGGGATTACTGGACAGTTACCTCGTTCTGGTTTCGACTTCTCACTATTGTGCACCGATGAATTCACCTGAAGTCCTTTATAACATCTTCAGGTCACAAGCCAAGCACGTTTACCCTGTGCTCCTTGGATTAGACTCCAGTGATACAGAAATTCTAAATTCAATTAATTTACGATACACCACTGCCTACATTTGGTGTTATTGATGGGTATCTATTTTCATACTTGGATTAAGGGACTTTACAAGTCACCGTGAAGAGGAAGAAATCGAAATTGAAATTAATCATATCTCTAGAGTCCCAATATCTAAATGCTACATATTTACTCCGAAACGTTTAAGTTATGAGGTGTATCCTCAAAATTGGTCATTTATACAAATTCGAGTACTGTCAGTGTACAAGGGAGAAAGCTATCAAGTGTACTTCGTTTCTAATCTGTGCTTCAAATGATGAAAAATGTAAATATTTTATCACTTGCATTAAAATAGTCGTATAATTCAGACTGTCTCTCTCTCCCGTTGTCATATTCATTTTAACGACAAACCGTAATTCAAAGAAATACATGAATGTAATTGAATTTTAGATTTTCCCGTCGATCGATTGGACCGAAGTGCTCGGTCTCAGGTTGACATGTCGGTGGGAACATCATCACTCACTGGGGAATGCAGGCACATCCAGATGACCGGTCGAAAATAGGACGAAACGCGCATCCTGGATTCCACTGCTAGTCACCATCCACCAATTAAATTCGCATACACGAATCCATCTTCCACATGGCTTCTATTCGAATAAAAATACTTAAGTGTACACAAAGATGGTGCATAAGTGGAAAAAATTAGTGACTTAACATATATGCGGTGTAAAACTTAAATTAGGAAGTAAAATGTCAGTTGTATAAATTAAGGGTGTCAAGCTTTATTGCCTCATGGTTGAGCGAACAGAAGCGAAATCGTGGTTCCAATTGCTACACTTCGTATATGCGCATCATGTGGAATGTAATAAAAAGGCGGATAATGAAATGGAAATAATATAGTCAGTGGCCACAGTGATGAGCTGCAGGATTATTCAAACACTTAAGCGATATTATCCGTCTAGATCTAGAAGATAACGAACATTTTAGGACTACTCATTACTGTTGCTTTTTCATTTCATTATATTATCTTTAGCTTCTATCAGCGTTATTTTCATTTTTAGTCTTCCCTTCTATTAATTATTTCCTCGGTAAAATGTTGCAGCTCTAGCTGTGTCACAATCACATCAATTCCTATGTTGTATATGCTTGTTCATTTCCTCCTGTTATCTTTGAACTATTAAGTTAGAAATTACTGGCATATAAAATAGCATCACCAGTGGATCATCCCATAAAACCGAGTTGCATAAATTTGCAATCATTTTATTGTTTAGGAAGAAATCTCTATACAACACGAGTTAGGAATTCAAATTCTTTGGAGAATTCGTGACAAGTAGAGTGCAGCAGGTCGGTTGTGAGTACAAATACTCACCGAAGACATTGGCCAGGGGTTGCGCTATGTCGTGATTTGACAGAAGTTAGAATTCACGGGCCATTGGGTCGTGGGTCCCAGTCGCTTAATGGTATATGAGCTCGCTAGCCTTGTAACCAGAAGGTCCTGGGTTCGAATCCCGATGGGTGCTTGCTGCGAAGAGTCTCAAATTAGGACGAAACAGCTGTGCAATACTCGGAGGTTTTCCAATGGTTATCTAACTAATGTCAGCTCATGATGAGATCCTGTAATCAACCAAATCCCTACAAACCAACGCTTGAATTCTGAATTTTAGAATCTAATATAGCTATCAAATGATGTATGCACGTCTGTTTTTACTAATGCCATAATACCGTCTTTTTGTTTGACACTAAATTTTCGGAGATTCAGTATTATCACAACCTCACGTAGTTTACTTTCCGGTCGTAAGCGCGGTGAAGAAGGGAGGGTTAGATGAGGAGTTTGAGACACCTTCTTACGTCAAAAATAAATCCAAAGTTTGCCATAGAAACCTCAGAGCAGGTGTTATCAGATTATCGGATTCATGATATGAAAACTTATATCCTCATTTTTTTTCCTAGGTAAATTATTTTTTCAATTGGATTTGTAACTATTACAGAGGCAGTAGAATCGTTAGGATATGGTCATCTTATATCCTAACGATTTCTAAGAAAGTGTTACGTCTAGCCTACTACATTAAGAAACTTAGACTATCTAGAATCACCCAACCTCTACTTTCACAATTCGTCAACTCTCGTATCGTACATATTCTACTTTACTGCCCCATTAGTCTTTCCTGGGATGCTGAGAACGGACTATACCATCCTGAGAAGGATGTTGAAGGCGGTTAGTGGGACTAGTGGTGTAAAACTCAGTCAGCTCGTCACTACATTAGTAGAAAGGCATCTGAATACATGCGAAAAATGGTTTAAAACCATACTCTCCGACCCCCAGCACCCCCTCTATTCCCAACTCTCTCCTTGTATCTCATCAGGTAGAACCAGAAATTAGTACAAAATAATATATGTTCGTACAACCAAGTATAGGAACTCAACGACACCATATTTCGCCCGTGTTCTAAGTGACAGAGACAATGTTAAGCGCGAAAGCTATGACTTGCTTTGTTGTTAATAACATAATTTTGCCTCTTTTATTTCTCTTATTTGTATTCTGTAATATCCAAAGTCTCCACGACAATTAGTGGATATGTTTACAACATAACGTTCAATTTTAGGTCAGGTAAACAAGAGCCACTGCTGGTTCCTGAGACTTTAAAGGCTCTAGGTAAGTAGATTGAACTTCCCTTCATGATTTGGACCACCAGACAGATTTCAAGCACTAATGTCATGCCTTGGTTAAACTATGAGAATGGTGATTAACATTTGTGAATATGGATATAAATATTGAATTGTTATTGCGCTTTTAGTTTATTTAGTAGGCGCAACAATGTCGTGCAAAAATATCACCTCCTCAACGTCTGGACATTTTGTTATAGTACTTCACCTTATTCGCAATCTTATTGTCTTTGAATGCATTTTGTTTGTTGAGGGGGTTGTTAGCTCTGATCGTGCAAAATATGTTCTGGGTACTTTGGGTAGGGCATTAATCTGGCTTCATTTAGTAACTTTCTATTCGTCCTACTAAGTACTGTGCAAACTTGAAGAGAATCTACTACCCCTGAAACATGTGGAATGGAGGTCCCACCTTTGGCACAAATTCATATTTGTACCGTATATTTCTTCTAATTACAAAGACAGAAAACATTCCATTGGCTCAACATTTCAGTGTTGATCTTTTCACAGACCTTTGGATACGGGTTTACAGACGTGGAAAGTGGAGTTGTGTACAGCCCTACTATTAATGGCTACTGGATTGTTAGCGTTTGCAAGTAAAAGAGTGGTTTCATCATACAACTTGGGGAAGACGGTGAATGATACTACTACGAAAAGTATGCCACGCCATCATGAGGACTTTAAACCGAATTCATCCCAGAAGGAATCGGGTTCAAATGCAAATGCTGAGAGTGATCGTCCCTCTTTTCGTTCACCTTTCACATGGGATCCGTTTGGTGGTTTTAGTTCAGTTAAACCCACAACATCAAGTGTAAAATTTAAGGTATGTTGTTTGTTCTTTCTTATTACCTGCTTCAAGTTGACTATGTTAAGGTTCCCACTTGTGTCCTCAGCTAATTTTTGTCTGTTGACAGAATTTCTATTTTGATATGTATCTCGTGTATAATATATTTGTTGTTCATCTGCCACAACTATCTTTTTAATCGGAGGTATAACTGATTGGCTTAGTTAATCGGTTTTCCATGAATAGGTCTCGGGTAGGGACTCCAACATACCTATTTCGGTCTTGAGAATGGGGCCTTTGCATAATTAAATCTACACATTGAATACCTGGGGTCAAATGATTAGATTTTAAACAGAAAGCATACAAGGGTTGTTTTGATGTCTAAACTGTGGGTGTTTACTTTTTATGCAAATGTATGATATATTCCCTTCAGAGACTGGTTTTAGTAATTCAAAACGAATAATAATAATAATATATATATTCTCATTTTTTACATGAGTGACGCCAGTTTATAGGCATCATCAATTCGATAAATTGCACATAATAATAATAAGCATATTTAGTAAAGTTAGTATAATAAGGTACATTTTTTTCCCTAGCTATGTAGGGTAAACCAATTGTATAGGCATGCAAAAATATTGTTTTGATAATAATAATATATTCCTTCCTGTTTATGCAGGAACATACCCATTGTACAGGCATGGATAAGCTGTTATATATATATATGTATAAAATTCTGTTTGTGTAGCACATAAAGAGATATAGAAATATTGTCTTCGCATTAACAAAAAACCCAGACATCAGATGGATGTAATACAGGTATCTGGGAAAATATAGCTTGAAGTCAATTCTCTTATATATCTTTGTTCTGAACAACACCCTTGGCTTAAAGATTATTGATGTATTATGTTGAGATCAGTGATATATTTATTCCATTTTTCAGCGGTCTTATCGCAGTTTCATAACAGGGAAGAAATTTGATCGTGGAGGCGAAAACTAGATTAGGTCATGTTGGGTTGTTTTACTGCATCAAATGGTGCCGAGTTCGATTCCAGAATTCTCCATTTGCGCCATTTGTGTCTGCATGGCGGACTGTATTCGTAAGTTGAGTAAAATGTTGAAAACTGTTTGAAAACCAGTTGCTTCTTCATTTCAGATCATGAATACTCATTTACATCATATTCGCCAGCGTCTTAAAATGGTAAAATGTTGAAAACTGTTTGAAAACCAGTTGCTTCTTTATTTCAGATCATGAATACACATTTACATCGTGTTCGCCAGCTTCTTTAAATGGTAGAATTGGATCGTTCCTGGAATTTGAGTGATTATGGGATAAATGGTTTGGAATTAATCATAGCAGTTAGAATACAGTTAAACATGCAGAGAAGTACTTTTGATTCAGCAACCGGTGAATTTTTTATTCTTTTCGATGTGGTACCAGAATGACCGCGAACCATTCCATTCAAGATGTCGAATAAGGCATGCAGGAGTAGATCATTGCCATCGAATGAATCAACTTGATATGAGATGCAGCTTTCAGCATGTTTTCGTTATATCATAGATATCCAGGTTTATTGGCGCTGTATAGGCAGTGATTTGGATTATAACGTATTCTACAGAGTCTCCGTGCCCATTTGAAGTATACATATGCTTTGGGATTACTTTGTTGGCTCCTACCCCCACTGAGTGTTTACAACAGCAGCTGTGGATTTATGTATTTCCTCGCCATTTTGGATATAACATCGCCGCATTCTTTTTGGGTAGGAGACCAGTGGGTGGATTATAAATGATGTTCAAGTAACTTTTATCTTTTTATGTGGTGTTGCGATAAGTTTCTACCTTGTTTTCTCATATTTGATTCGTATGTTGGTTATGTTTCGCCCTTTGTATCAGGTAGACATAGTTTAATCGACTCTTGATTGAATGGGTGTAATTGTCATGACTGCTGCTTTTTTGTCTGGAATTAAAAATAGAGGCAAAACAAACAACAGGTGTAGTGTCTGAGTTCATACATTAAATGGGCCTATGATTTCTGAAACTCTAGCATGGGAATTACCACTCGTATCAATTACAAACTCATTAAGTGTGTCATTAAGTGCCTTTCAAAGGAGGCCAATGTGCTTGCTAGTCGCATTTTCTCAGGTGGTTTGTTCCATATTTGGGCATACCTAATCAAGAAAAACGTTTGCCTGGTGGCTGTTTTACATGGTTCTATAGCCACTGTACCTTTAGTGTGTCAAAGGTTGCATTCTGTGTTGCCTGAGAACCGGGTATAGTTAGCAGGGTTATACACTATTTGGTTAAGAAGCTGTCAATCACGACTCATAAACCGTTAATGCCCAGCTCTCGCTACGCTCGGGCCCACGCTGTGCTTCGAAGATTTCAGAAACGCTTAGTAACAACGGACGAAAAAACCAAAACACCGATATGCCGTTTGATATTTATTTATTGTTACACCAACATATAAAAGGAATAAGCGAACTAAGGTCTGAAAACAAATATTACAATAATAAATCATTGTATTACTTCTGACGATGTTTCACTCTTCTTTCTGAACAGCGACCGATGAGACGATGACTGTCGTATTGATGCCTCCGCGAAAATTGGGGAAGTTGATTTTGAGCAAACAACCAAGAATTGATCGTTCAATCTTCAACTCCATTGACACTCCCCGGCAAAAAAGGGATCCATACCTTTTTTCCTTCACGACCAATATGCGTTGACTTGGATGCCATTGCGAGAACCTGAGTCACACGGACAGAGCTGAAATGGAAAACAAACAGAAAAGCCAACACACCACAAGCATACCCACAGCACAATCTCACACATCAATGACGACCTGCGCCTCCAGACAGAGACCTCCTCTTGACATCTTGCAACACAATCGCCATTTGCTAGAATGACTCTTGCAGAATGCAACGTGACCATAGCACCAACTCATGATACTCTACGCACATCCTCACATCTACTCACTACCAATTACCATTGAAATCGCTTGTCACTCATTCTGCCTCAGTTCTAGTAGCGGTGACGCATGCGAGCCTCAGTCGTTTACACTCTTTCTCCCCGGCGTGTCGGACCGCAGCTAACAATTATCTCCGTGTGCATTTCATTCTCAGCAATAGCCTAGCCTCCCCGGCGTATACGACCCATCTGCTGTCCTTAACATCAATCAATTCATTCACGGATGTAGAAGACTCGAAACAACTTCAGAAGTAATCACGACGAAAATTTTAACAAAATTACGCAATAACAACAAGATACGAAAACAACGAGTAAACACAATGAATCCAAAAACACCACCAATTGATATGACACACCACACGTATATACAAATAGTACAAACAACCTCGCCGATCATGTCTTGGTGGAATTCCTTTGAAGAATTGCAGGACTTACACCAGTACGCCTACAACCCTTCTCACGTTGACGATTGTAATTTGTGGAATGTCCGGACACAAACAAGATTAACCAACAATTGCGATAATTGGAACTCACACAATTATTTAACACAAACATATGTACAATCAACACATCAAATGTTGTGCATTCTGGCATGACAAACTACCCTTGAAGAACTGTAGGACTTATAGCAGTACGCCTACATTCCTTCTCAGGTTGATGATCCAAGTGGAAGTCGTCCGGACACAAACAGAATTACCAACAGCTAGATGACAGATGATATCAATTCAGTATATACAATATGAACATATGTACAAAATCACACACCAAGCACATTGGACTGCTCATTGATGCGCTACCCTTTGAAGAATTGTAGGACTTACACCAGTACGCCTACAACCCTTCTCAGGTTGACGCTCTAGGTTGGAAAATCGTCGCAGAGTTCATTTGCTGACTTCCTTCTATCAGCTATATCCTCAAATCTGAACGGTAACACGCCCATGTCATTGTATCGTAGAATATAGATGACCAACAAACACACGACATATCTCATCAACCAAGTGTAGAAACAGAGTAATTTACACCAAAGATAATAACATTCAAATAGTAACTTGAAACTGGAAATGCCTTTATTCGTGCAAGTCAATTTAACAATTACTCTCTCATTTACACTTGGCTTATTCTCACCAAACTGACCATTGATATTCGTCCTTTCAAACGAACTGATACTACCATAGTCATTGCACAAGATACTTGAGTTCATGGGTGTCTGTTTCATTGTGGATGACAGCACCAACGACGACTGATTGATATCAGTTGATGAAGTTAGCGGTGGATCAGAAGCTGTTGTTGCTCGACTTTCAGAAATTTGTCTACCTATAAGACCACCACCACTGCTGTATTTTACTATCAGCTCAGGTTTAGCACTAGCATCTGATGATAGGTGGGCTACATGCTGATCACTCACACTGACGGTCTCACAAATATCCATAACTTCTGCAACTGCATCTGCATTTAAATCTACTTCACGTTCAAGTTGTACAGAACCTTTGTTCAACTTAGCGGTAGTAGGCATTCCCTCCATTTCATCATGATCAACCAAAGACAAACCTGCACTATCATGATCATTATCACAAATATTCAATTTACCGTCAACTTCATCATTTTCAAACTCTTTAATAACAGAAGTAGACAATTTTGGTTCCTCCTCGCAAATCCTAAAAGGTTTTATAGATTCACTCTGACTAGTAATACCTTGTAAACTTGTGGAGTCAGAACTCCACTCTGAAGCAGTAACTCTATTCTGTGACACTCTATTCAACAACGGCTTACCAGTTGCAACTACAGACTTCTTCACAACACCGTTATCGTCACACAATTCGGAGTCAGACCTGGAGTTTACATTTAGCTTATCACTGAACTTGCTTACCGGTTCACAGTTCACCTTTGTATGCACCTCTTGCAAACGTGTAAAACAAAACCGTGTTTGTCTTGCATCTTGTAACTTATCTGTTGAGGATGTACTACGAAACCTGTTACACTCACTAGGTCTATATGCATTACTAGACATCATGGAGTCTTCTCGATATCCACCTCTCTGAGGCCTACTCGTCATCAATGATTGCATTTTGATCTCAGACTGCTCTATTCTAGGGGTGAGATTCAATATACTGGCAAACTTGCTCATAGATTGATTGACACTATTGTTTACCAGTTTCAGGATATCATCAAACTTTGGCTCGATATCCTCTTCCTCCATACGGGAGCTTATCTTCACCCACTTCCTTTGCAGTCGAGTAGGTAGACGTCTTGCTATTACTTCTAGTATAAAACTCGAGTTGAGGTCACTCATTCGATTCATCGAAATCATTCCATTCTTGTAAATTAGCAAATTATCTAAAAACTCAGTGAGTGCCTGGGAGTCATCCTG